AGCAAAAATGTGTATATACAGCAAAACATGTATACATACAGCAAAAATGTGTATATACAGCAAAACAAGTATACATACAGCAAAACAAGTATACATACAGCAAAACAAGTATACATACAGCAAAACAAGTATACATACAGCAAAACAAGTATACATACAGCAAAACATGTATACATACAGCTAAAGAAGTATACATACAGCAAAAATGTGTATATACAGCAAAACATGTCTACATACAGCAAAACAAGTATACATACAGCAAAACAAGTATACATACAGCAAAACAAGTATACATACAGCAAAACAAGTATACATACAGCAAAACAAGTATACATACAGCAAAACAAGTATACATACAGCAAAACAAGTATACATACAGCAAAACAAGTATACATAAAGCAAAACATGTATACATACAGCTAAACAAGTATACATACAACAAAAATGTGTATATACAGCAAAACATGTATACAAATAGCAAAACATGTGTATATAAAGCAAAAATGTGTATATACAGCAAAACATGTACACAAACAGCAAAACAAGTATACATACAGTGAAAGCATGTATACATACAGCAAAAACAAGTAGACATACAGCAAAACATGTACACATACAGCAAAAATGTGTATATACAGCAAAACATGTATACATACAGCAAAAATGTGTATATACAGCAAAACATGTATACATACAGCAAAACATGTACACATACAGCAAAAATGTGTATATACAGCAAAACATGTATACATACAGCAAAAATGTGTATATACAGCAAAACATGTATACATACAGCAAAAGAAGTATACATAAAGCAAAACATGTTTACATACAGCAAAAACAAGCATACATACAGCAAATACATGTATATATATATATACATGAAATGTTGCATATAAAGCAACAATTTTAAACGTGTGTGACTGAAGAAATCCGTAAAACTGCAACATAAAAAACTACTCTTGTACTAATTATATTTTCATTTTGCTTATTTAGAATTCTGTTGAAATTAGATGTAATTGGGATTACTAGTCCTAATTAGAATAATTTGATAAACATGCTAATGATAATCAAGATTTAAAGGTCTTTTCTTAATGATAATCATTTTTTAAAACAGTCTTGACCTCTGTGTCTCCGTCTCTGTCCACTGAGGACCACCACCAATTATTCAGGAATATTGGTTTTGTCTCAAGTCCAAGGCCATTCTGGTGTTGTTGTTTTCCCTCCTTCTCCTTTAACCATCAGTGACCTCAAAGTGTTTAGGGTTTTACTGAAGAAATAAGTGTTTTTTCCCCCATGGGTACAGTTAATCGCTGAACTGCTGCTGGTAACACATCGCCCTGTTCAACCAGCCCCCCCCCCATCCCTCTTGTGTGGTGCATCACCTCTCTCACTTGCTTTCAATCTCTCCTTCTCTCTCCTTCACTCCTTGGCTTAATATTGATCTGAATTAATTTGTTTCCTATTGATCTGCCACTCCACCCTATACTGCATTGAGCAAACACCAGAACACACACCGCACACACAGACGCCTTCAGGTGCAGCGCGTCTCTTGTAAGCCTCTCACGTGTACATACACAAATACCCTATGAAGATCTAAAACCGCCCATTTATAAACCTGGAATATGGAAGGTCATGCAGATGCAATCACACACTCTTGATCTGAAGAGGTGTCGAGGCTGAAAACATGATGTTTTTTAAGAGATCTCATCGCAGCCATCAAGCTAGCTAATGACATACAAAGGAACCTGGATTCTTTATTGATCCAACACTTAAGCAGTGAGATGAAAACATAGGCAGTCTGGGGCTGCCACTGGCAGGCGACACAATTACTGCCGCAGTTCATTTCTCAGGTCTGCTGAAATGTACTCGGAGTCATTAGTGCAAGAAATGAAAGGAGTTTATTTTGATGGTAATTGTGTAGAGTTATATGAGCCAAGGTGACATTTGTGGCAGTAATTGTGCATTTTGTGAAAACCATTCATGGGCTCAAATAGCAAAAATATCAAAATATATCAATCAGTTATAAAGCTGTACTACTTTATATTTGGTTTCCAAAAAATGCACACTAGTATTTTTTTATGTGATAGTGGGTCTAACATCAGTTAATGACAGTTGCAGCAGCATAGACCAATGGCATTAGGAATATTCATCTGGTGCGGCTAGGTTGCGTCGCGCTGACTTAACCCTGAACGTGGCAGGTTTTCTTTAAAGTTCAAATTCATGAAAAAAAGACATATTTTTCTAACATATAAACACTGAAGGTTGAGTTAGTATTTGATAAGTAAACTTTTAATGTGGCTTTAATTCAATTTAACTTGTGAAGTTAAAAAAATAAGTGATCCTGAGAGGGAATGCCTTTCAATCAATTTCCCTCTGGGATTAATAAAGTATTTTTGATTTGATTTATTTAACACTAGAGTTTCACACTTGCTCGGAGTTGACTGCACCTTCTGATTTTGCTCTTTTTTTTAAAAACAGTGATGATTACATTAACTAATGGGTTTGATTGAAACAGAGCTCACCTCATGTTAGTCGATGAGTCACTGAGGTGTAGCCATTCTGGGCAAATTTAGAAAATAATATGACATGACAGTAGCTATGTTTACATGGGCACAAGTAATTGTAATGTATGTCCTATCAGATCAAAAATTCTTCATGTAAACTTGTCTTCTGATCCGATACGGCCTGATCGGAATGAAATTCCATTCCGATTGAGAGAGGGGATTTTGTCCGATCATCATCATTCTGATTGACATCCAAGTACACACTCATTTTGGATTGTTAGATTAAAATATTGCTCACTGCGCATGTGTACAACTTCAGCGGGATGTCTTTCTGCCTTTGCAGACACTCAGGACAAGTCTGAGGAGCTGGAGGACGGTGTGAATGGGTGATCATTAATGTGTTATCCTGCTCTCCTGTCCTGTGGCGGAGGAGCAGTAGCGTTACGTACCGCTGAGCATGTAGTTTAATGAAAGCGATCAGTTAAAACAAAAGCATACAGCTAAAAAAGCAAAGAAGTTCCATAACAGAGGAAAAAAGTAAGCCAACAGACAAAGCTAGAGAATAATAAAATTTAAAAAAATACAAGGGGAAAGACGTGCAGACAAGATGACATTTGTTTATAATTTTTTTTTCCTGGAAAGACAACTCTGCGCATGCTCAACCTATTTCATCTGACTGAATGCTTGGTGAATGTATACTCACAGCATGATCGGATCATTTCAGTTAGTGTCCATGTAAACAGATTTGGGATTTCTGATCAGCCAAGATTTATTTAAATTTAGTGCATGTAAACGTAACTAGTGTTGAGTACCGGTGGTGCCACCAGCCCCGTCTCTGCTAGCCCGGTCTTATTAATTTTACCCGACCTGCCTGTGTCTCCATTTCACTGGCCCAGCCTGAAAGGACCATTCTCCAGGCCATTTCAGGACACCAACGGAGTACCTGAAATGGAGTATGAACTCTCTGCACACTGAACAGGACTTGTGGTTAACTGACTGGTTGTTACTCTGTTGGAAATTATACCAGCAGACCAAACAACTGGCATTTGTAAAATTGGAAGAGTTGCTGGTGAAGTGGAATGGAAGGAAAAGAAAATAAGCAGCATTTATGCTACTTTGAAACGCTGAGAAAGGGGGCAGAAATCCCCCCGCAATGCTGTAATTTTGGCCACTTTCTGGTCTACTACAGAGCGCCGTAAAAAACTGGTCATGGTATACCATCACAGAGCCGCTCTCCCAATCCCCTGAATGTATTAAATTACAGCGTATCTAAACAGAATAAAATTGTAACAGTTATTAACGTCCGTGGATGCCTTGCGGCATCCCCCCATTCCAAAACAGTTGCGTTACGCTGACGCCTTAGCAAGCTAAGTCCTGAAAGGGACAATTACTTTATGACAGCACAACAGCTGAGAGGACCAAGCCGGCGGCCGTCACCTTTTCTCCTCCCAGAAATTTCCCAGAACTCCTGTAGTGGAAACATGAGTAATGTTGACTCAAGTTGACTCCAAACGATTATCAGCTGTAGATGTACATCCAAATATCACCTTTTTATCCATCCAGTGGTTATTTAGCAAACAAGCACACACACACACCAACATTAAAAAGCCAATAGGTGGGTTAATGACTGTTTCTTTTACGAATGAATTCCCTGTAGCTTTATTTTTGGGTTTAATTTTTCCTGTCATTCCCTTTGATGAAAATGATCTCAAATGGTCTCCATCCTTGGGAAGTTTATCAACTTTTTTGAGGTCCCACCTGTCAGTCCAAATATTTGGTTGCAGGCATCAAGTTGCCATGACACCAGACTGTTTGTCCTGCCCTTTGACCCTCTTTTGGAACATGCTGCGTTATGTCAGAACACATCTCTAGCAGCAGCTTGAGTTCAAACGGCTGGGCAGGAAGGAATTGGATCCCTACACTATTAGATAAGATGCTTCAAAGCAATGTCCTGCCTAAGATCGGCCTAAGTGCATGTTGACACAAACACACAAGTCAAATATATCAACGCTCGTGAGAAATCCAGACACACACCAACGTTAAAGCCGCTCATCATTATCTGTGTTGTTTTTTATTGTGCTGCAATGTCGTAACAATTGCATTTGCTTTACTAACTGCTGTTTAATTTATGATGTTGGGTCATATTTTTGTCATTATTAATGTATTATTAATCACCACCGTCTTTAACCGTGTCTGGTCTACTTGTGTTTGTTCCAGCGTCTCATTCGTTTTTACCAGTTCGATCTCCACTTCCTGTATGGAACCGCGAGTTTTTACCTTCTTTAATAAACGTGTTTGTATTTATTTCATTCGAGTTGTGTTGTGAAATGCAACTGATGATTCAGGTTCATTCTTTCATGATTTTGGAAGTGTTCATTCATATTAAAGGAAATTCATTTTCAGTGAGTCGTTGCTCTGTTCCTGTCTCTGTCTGTTTGCTGCCGCAGAAGTTCCTGCTCATATATAATCGTCATCATGCTTCTGTAATTTCAGAAATGCCGTGGTCAGCCATAAAGGTTTTCCAGTGAGGAGTGAGCCCCATGGAAAAGCTATAATAGTTTTGAGGTAAAGACCTCTTCCTTTATGTTCTCCTATGAACTCCTATGAAAAAGGGCCAAACTAACTGATAAAGTTTGCTGTATTAATCAATACTATCACATATATCAAATATCAACTTTAGTATTTCTCTAATTTAGTGTTCTCCCTAAAGCATGGATGTTCTTTAATTCACAATGTTTGATTGTAGTCACCACTACAAACAAACAGGTTTCCAAGTGATTTCACAAATTCAGGCCAATGGAGGGAAAAATACTCAACCAGAAAATCATCATTTTACGTTATTCTACATTAACGTTAAAGTTAAAAAAACTTTAACTTTAATGTAGAATAACGTAAAACGTCATTTAACGTCATTTTACGTTATTCTACATAATTACATACTGGGGCAAAACACACATTTGACCAATGGCTTACAATACACCACAATGGCAAAGAAGCAACTAGAAAACAAATTTAAAATGACAAATGTTATTTAAAATAATGACATACTGGATGCATGTGAAAGCCCCTGTTATAGAAAACAAACATTACATTGTAAGTGTACATTTTTTATGCTTATGTGTACACAGAAACAATCTTCTACTCTACTCTAACACACACACACACACACACACACACACACACACACACACACACACACACACACACACACACACACACACACACACACACACACACACACTGGCCCTCACAACCCAATAGCCATTGACAACTCTGCCCTAGCAACCATTGGGCACGATGCCAAGCCACTGAGGTTGCCTGGTACTGTGTTACTATGGTAACACTTTCTGGCTTTGTAAATAAGGTAAATGAAGAGCAAAAAAGGGAGGGCCTGGGATAAATTTCACTATAGAATCACATTAAGAGAGCTAATAATTTATGGTTTGTGAATAATTATCCCAGCTCTGCACCACAAGCTGTCGGTTCTGAAGAGGTGCATTAGCAACAGTGGTGATCTCAGGACAGAGTCCTCACCACACAGATCATCAGATCTTTATTTGAGTTGGACAACAGGAAAAGCATTCAAATCTGCCTTCCTGTCTTTACTACTGTCTGATAGCATCTAGTGGGAGTGTAATGATCAAACACGTCACTGGGCTCCAGTGGAGGAAGATTTCTCCATTTGATGATGTGTAGTTTGAGAATATCACATTTTCTGTTTACACACTCCTGTTGTTATCTGTCTGTCTGTCTGTCTGTCTAGAACAATAGTTGTTTGATTTCCTTTCATTTGACCAGTTTGATAATAATAGACGTGTGTAGACATTTTTCAAAACAACATGTAAAGAGTTAATTTGCAAAGACAGGTAACTCCTTTTTCATACATTTTCAAAAAGTGCTTCATTTTGTCATTTCCTCCAGGTGACATGGGTCAAAATAAAGTTTGGATATGTTGATCAAAAATGGCTTTTATCCATTTTTGGTAATGAACTCTTCATTTGTAGCTTTAATGTCACTAATTGTTTTATTCTCGACACTAATTGTGTCAGACTCTTAAGTCACAAAAAGGAATGAAAAACAATCAGTGGATCAAAAAGAAGTAAAATCTTTTAATAGCACAATTAATTAGAACTAACTCATCAGAGTTCTTGCTCCAGAAATGAACAGAAAAGAGATTTTTTAAATTGGATTTAATGTCTATTTGTTCTTAAATGAGATCAAATTGCGTGTCGTTGTCTTAACAGCAACATAAAATAGCTGTCTTACTATTTTTCTTTTCTCTAATTAGGAAGCATAAATTACCAGTTTGAACTCCAATTGTGAGACAATGTGTGAGATGCTTCAGATGTGCGTGGATGTTTGGGTAGATTTTACCAGCATGTTACCACCGTTAAGACTTGAGGCTTTACATGCATCCAGCTACACTTAAAATAAGAAGTACACATATATGGAGCCAATATTGTGTACAAAGTAAAAGTCAAGTAAAGGTTTAAGTGTTTGCATACTTTTCTCAAGTACGGGTAGCGAGAATCTGATTAGTTAACCCTACTTTTAAAAAACAGCCAACTAATCACACTGAAAGTACACAGTAATATGGATGTTGGAGTTACTAATACTTACATATGCACTTAAATGCAAGTTACTAAAACTATAACAAACCAGTACTTAGAAATGTTCTTACTGAACTTGTATTTCTGAGTTTTGTATACTCAAGCAGATACTTTATACTTTTTTCTTACTAATGGTAACTTGTGTGTAACTTTGTATGCATTAGTGCTACTTCTGTGTACTTATTATTTTAAGTGCTATCGGTTTGCATGCTTCATTTAGTAAGTTTAACTAGTTGGATTTTACAGTGTAAAATCATATCTTCATATACTCAAATTCTTTCTGTGATTCATTTCTGTTTGTTTGCGTATGAGGCTGAACTGTAATTTCCACAAAGCCTCACCTGACCCAGCAGCAGCTGGTTCGCGGGCTTCTAAGCCACCCAAGCCTCTGGCGCAGGGACTTCCCACCAGACTCACATCGGCACACAAACATGCCCGGGCAGATTGGCAAAGCGCTGGCATTGGCACAACCATGCCGCATGCATACGTGACCTGACTGCGAATGAGATGATCAGAGAGGAATAAAAAAGGGGAAAAGAGGGGATGAAGGGAGGAGACTAAGTTGGTGCAAACAGATTGAATTACAAAAAGAGTTGGAAAAGATTCTGTGGTAAAGAACAATAAAAAACACACATAGAATAGAAGGGGGACAGAAAAAGAAAAGAAGCGAAGGGTAGGCAAAGGCAGGGCTTTTAAAGGGAATGGAGAGAGGTGAGGTGAATGGGTTTGTTGTTGGACGCTAGCCAAACTACCAAAATAAAATGTTTCTATCCAGCATGAGCTGTTTCTAAAACACATCTACCTCTGTTGTGCAGCTTGTATTATTATGCACATAAAATCACTGCAGGCGATAGAGTGAGTTACCGTTTAAGGAATCTTTAATATGCTCCTTGTAAACGAAGCCCCAGCCATCTACCTCTGAAGCTAAGGTTGTATTTTGGTGCATTGGCAGAGTTGAATAGGAGGCCTTGCAGCTCAGCTTTGCAGCAGCTATCAAATAATCCATGAGTCCTTGAGGCACACAGCAGCAGTGTCAAAACACATCCATTGACTGCTAATAACAGCCAATTTTCTGCTTTTGCTGGAGATCACCTCAGCTAGATGTCGAATGTGTGGGCGCACCCCATTATTTATGGAGCATAATAAGAGAGATTGACTGGATAGTGCCGTTACTCCAAACTGCCATCCAATTATTCAGTCATTAGATTCTATTTGAAACATCGACAACTATTATACAACAAACCATTTTCTGCATTATCCTGAATGTAGCCTCTGTTTAATGTGAAGAGCTGTCGCCATGACACCATCTTGAGCACCTGAAGAGGAAAATGTAAATACAAACACCTGCAGAGATGAACTGAACTCAGTCCTCAAAATGTATCTTTATTTACTGTCTAGACAGGCAAAATCCCAAGTGCACGTGTTTGAGTCTCTCTCGTCAATCTGTGTTTCACTCATTGATGTTCTCAATAATATTTGGTTTTGGGTAATTGCTCTATAGATGATGACACTTGACGACAGTCCAGTATGACAACATCAGGGCTGCTTTTCTTTGAGATTATTGCTCATTCTATTTTATCTTTAAGCCGAAATGTACAGGCATAAAAGAATGCATAATAAAGATTATACCACCAGAATTAATTTGCATCGTTCTCATCAGACATCAACATATTTAGCTCAACTTCAAATACATGGTAATTAGATTATATCAGTCTATAATAACCACTACAAACATCATCTTTCACACGGTTTTTTTCAGCCTTCACCTGTATCAAAGCTCGCAATTTCTGTTCCCAAACAAAAGGTAATTACAAAAAACATGTATGACAGTTGGATGTAGCCTAGAAAATAAATCTAGACTAACCATAGCAGTAGCAAAAGATTCGGCTCTGCACGTTCCATTGTAGCCTCAGCTGGTCTACCGTTAAATTAGCTTACCACCATTACAGCAGAGACGGAGCAAAACTACAAAGATGGCAGCGGCTCAGGAATGGCACTCCTTTAAAACAGATTTGGTATTAACTTTTGGCAGGATAGACCTGGGCTTTTCTTTGAGGCATGTACGGATAGAAGTACCTGTTCTTCTGCTTCTTCAACAGCATTTGTCCGACCACCCTGTTGACTCATTTCCATCGCTACGGATACATCACGTTGTTCGATGCTCTGATTGGTCCTAGTGCTCTCCAGTTGCATGCAAAGACTGTTTGAAAGACAACCGTAGATTCCACCCCACGACCGAGCTCTGTCTCTAGGTTGTGGCCAGACTTTATGTTCACATGTATAGGATGACTTGCCTGGTTAATATTGCATATTTAACTCTCTGGAGGCAGGCGTTGCAGATTTGCAACAGTGAAAACCTACCTACCTGGTTACTCCACACACGTATTTCATGAGCGTTTTTTTTTTAACTCAGAAGTCAGAAGTAGCCCTGAAGGACTTAGTTGTTTGTCCTTTTCTCAAAACTTATTTTGAGCCTGAGAGGGTTAAGGTGTTTAATTGATGCCTTGCTTAATTAAAATGTGGTGTTTTCAGTTTGAACAACAACTAAAAACACGATTGTTCTTTACATCAGCTGAGCAGGTCACACCTGATAATCTCCTCTAAAGGCTGCAGGAGCGAGGAAACCTGAGCAACGGTTCTGTAAAACAGAAATAATAGAAGGTGACTGGTGGAGTTTAACCTCTGAAACACAGAAAACAGTCTTCTGTAGTGTTGAATCAGATCTTTGAGGGTATGGAAGATTCCAGCAGCTTTCCTTTGCAGAAGTAGGTCAGGCAGACGCCTACAGTGAGAACTGAAGGTTAAGTGTTCGTCTTTGTATTCCAGACAGTGAAGGTCTGGTGTGGCCCTTTTATGGGGGAAGGGGGGGGCGTCTTTGTTCTGTGTCCTCCCACAAGAGGGAGACAAGTCCACAGAAATGAAAGGATTGCAGGATTTCATCACCACAGCTTTAAACTTTAGATTTTCCTGCTTTTAGTTTGTTTTAAAACAACCAAAATTGACGAGGATAGTGTTTTACATTTTCTTAAGAATCAGACCCTGAAAAGATAATTGGATTAATCTGAAACATATGGAAGCTTTCTGGTGATCTGTGACATCGTGCGTGGAATTAGATGGGCGGCAAGAGGTGATAACTGGAGACGACAGGACAAGAAGACTCGAAGGAGAGACGGCAGACTCCAGCGCTGACCCTCCACCGGTGCTCTGCAGTGTGAGGTAGTTGGTTGTATAGTTTCGCATAATAAACAGCCTGGAGATAACTGTACAACCTTCTAGCTTTCCCTGCGGCGTCGCCCAGACTTCATGAGAAGGCCTTCAGCCTACCAGCCTCCATGTGTGGTGAGTATGAAGACTGACGTCAACAAGGGCTTCAAAGCTATAAAATGATATTCAGCAATAAAGTCAGTTATTTCAAGCAGATCTTTTATTAAATGATAATAAATCTACACTTTAAATTTGTGAAACTTTTGTTTCCTAATGTCTCACAACAAATCTGTTGCTACAAAAGACAAGAGAAAGGAGGATCCAGCTTTCTGTGCCTCATCCATCGCGGCCAATATTAGATCTGCAACGGTTCTAATTTCTTCTCCAGCAAATTCAATTTCAAGCCCGTAATCATATTGACACAAAAGCAAGCTATAAAACAGTTTCAGTGCTGACTTTAAATCTAATTTATCTGGATCGGGTTTAATTACGTTTTGCTTTTGAGGTCCAGCTAATCCGGGCGTCGATAGAATCACCTTGCTCTGCAGCGGTCTGTGGGCTGGTTCTGTGTTCCTGCTCTTCAGGTGGTGTTGCCCTGGAATCACAGGAGGAATTCTGATTTTAGTCACTCGTGTTTGTGATGTAAAAGAGAGTCAATTTTACCGATATAAGATCAATGGGACCATAAGCAATGCAAAGTTCCTCTCGTTTTAAGTCCAGAACTGAAACGTCTGAATGAGCCGATAATGAGAGTTTGTCCAGACGTTAGAATCAATGCATCCTGAAGAACGAGGCTGTATGTGAACTTGCTTCCTGCCTCCGCCTCTACCCCCCCCCTCCCCCCCCCGTCCCCCAGTGTGTCTGGCTTGTGGCTCAGACGCCCAGTATCCGCATTGCGTTGTAGTGCTCCAGCGAGGAAGGGATAAAAGAGCACATATCAGCAATCTCTGCTGAGCACTGCTCTTTTCTGCGTGCACACAAAGAAGCAACTCCTTGGTATGTTCAAGCTCGTGGGGGGGGGGGGGGGGGGGTCAACCATCGTGGGGGGGGGGGGTGTCAACCATCGTATCGCACCTGTTTTCCACCAGCAGTTTGATGAGAGCTGGCCAGGTCCTGCATTTGGTTTATTACTTTGGCTTTACACGTAACTTTTTTATTACCTTCAGCAGCGCAGCTCTAAAGTTTATACACACCCCTGTCACTTATATTAAAATTCTCATTCACTTTTCCTTTTGTTGCCCATTTGATTGTAAGATGCCGTTAAATCGATAGTAATGACAGAAATACGGGAGGGTTGTGTTCAGAACGGCTGGGGGGTTAATCACCTCTGGGCTTGCTGCAGCTTTGATCCTCATACTGTGTAAAATCCACAGCTTTTCAGCTCCCTCCTCTGCCTCTTTCTCACTCGTTCACTGCCTCCTAACACAGACACACTTTCACACAGCGTGCACAGCTGTGCACGGGGAACAAATGTGCACACACACACACACACACACGCCCCTCCCTCTGAACATGTTGCAACTCTCTCCTCCAGATGCATGAGCATCACGGCACAAATCCAAACACACACACATGCACACAATAATAGACACCCATGTAGACATGTGAGTATATAGCTTTTTTTTTATAGTGAGACGGGACGTCACGCCATGAAAAAGTAGAGGGGGATAGAGAGAGAGGGGGAGACGAGAAGGGATGGATGAAAATGAGGGGAAGGGCTGAGACGGAGCGGGAGGAGGCGGGGAAAGGGCGATACAGGGTGTTCAGGCAAGAGAAGAGAAGAGCAATAGCTGGACATACTGCATGCTTACATAAGTGTCTGTGACTCTGTGTGTGTGTGTGAGTGTGTGTGTGATATATGCAGGTGACACAGATTTATGAGAGGAGGGGGTCATAGCGCTGCTGATGGTTGTTGGGGGTTGGGGAAACTGGGGGTGTTGGTAGAGCACCAGATAACGGAATCAATGCGATTGTCTGCGTGTGTGTGTGTGTGTGCGCGCGCGTGTGTGTTTGTACCTGCCTCATAGACATTGCCTGTTTGGACTCTAATCGCCTGGAGAATTAGTGATGTGACTTGGCAGAGGGAGACAGGCACAAAACAGAGCCAGGGACAGCGCCTGAGAGAGGGATAGAAGAAGAGAACAGACAAAAAGGAGAGTGAGAGATGGAGGGGAAGCGAGAGGGGAAAAGCGGACCCGCTCGCCGCCACCGCCGCCGTGCACTGCGGTCACAGAAAAGGAAGACTGAAGATGGGACAGGATAGGTTGTATCAAACGCATTTTTTCTTTAAAAAAGGATAAATCGTGTTCTTTTCTCCTGTCAGGAGGAAATTGGATTAATAACTCAACGTAAGTGTGTGTTGTGTGATTAGTGTGGGGGTGTGAGCGTACCTGTTCTATGTATGGAGTGTGTGTGTATTTATGTAATGAACAGCAGGCAGAAGCAAACAGCAAATCCAGAATGACTTAAACGGGACACTTAACAAATTGAGACGAGCAGTTTGTCTGACCAAATCCACCCGCCATCTTCTTTCATTTATGTCTATCTTCATGCTCGTTCGTTTGATCTAGCTCGTCCTTCCTTACGAGAGCGTTTCTCCGATTTTCCCTCCAGCCTCTGGTTCGCATCATCCACTCTTTGTCTCTGCAAGAGCAACGGAGGGACTCATAAAAGTGGGGCAGAGGAAAATATCTCAGAGCGCAGAGACAAAGAGGAAGCAGAGAGAGGCGGTGTAAATTCAAAACAGACCGATAGACTTTATGTTCCGTGGGTCTTTGTGGAGTCGCTCGGCTCGTTTGTCTCGGCATGTGCGTACCTGGTCAGAGACAGGATGTTCAGGATTTGTTGGCGGGTCGTGCAGATGTTCTTCATGTGACATCTGCAGTGCTGGACTTGTCTAACGTGTATTTTGTTTGAAAAAGTGGAAACCAGCGTTACTTCGTCAAAGCTGAACATCTTTGTCATGGGAGAGTGATTGCATAATCCTGTGAGATCACATGGCCTGTAGGACATATAAGACGACAGACAGCGGCGTCTCCAGCTGGCCGCGTTAGATGCATTTGCATGCAGCACAAGCAGAGAGTACATACATATATATATACGTACACATATACATATATATAAAATATATAATCACCACAAGCTTAGTGCACTTTCGAACTTAGATGGGTTTTTTCATTTGCCTGTCTGTCTGTCTACCGGCAGAGGGCTTTGTCTTCTTTTGTGAACGTTTCATCGCACAGACCTGCACCGAGTCTCAGGCGTTGGCGAAGTGAGGAGGACGGACAATAAGAGCCCTGAAAATAAAAGTTCCTTACAGTGATATTTATTGACAAAATAATGAAGTCTTTCTGCATTTTGTTTTTTTTTTCCGCAGGATGGGACCCGGTCCGGATTGCGTAGACATGGCGAGACGAAATCTTTCATGTCGGAACGCATCAATGACAAACGGTAATCTCCCCATGGCACGGACGAGCTATGTCTGATTTAAATTTACTTCATCTACAAGAGATGATTTGTTCATTAGAAACAATCATATGAATACATGAAACAGGATGTTTTTAAACACTGATAGATTTTATCTGTGCATGAGACCGAATGGCAAAATGACCTTTGGTGTGCCTCGTTGTCCCTGAGACCCTTAACCTGTGATGATATCAAAGGTCACAGGTGAGGTCCTTGGGAACAAAGCCTCACACATTTGCTTCCAGGAGAAAACAAAACGTTTCACATCATTAACTTCACATCAGTGGCAGTTCAAATGTAAAATTGTGTGGAGAAACATTTTAATGTACTTGAAGCTCTCTGTAGGGGACAGTACCTTCTGGCTGACTTTGTACTTTTACATTTCAACAAAAAGACAACCAAAGGTTGTGACCCCGGTGTTATGGCTCAGGATTTTAAAAATATGCACAAAAGAAGCTGGAAATTTCTCTCAAGATTCAAACTATTTGGAGCTAAAGAAAAAAAATCAATAAAATTCAGTAAATTGTTCAAAACTTGTATTTGTATCCATTATTCATTATGTAAATCTATTTCTGTATCTCTTTTTATATTATGCTGCATCTTTTTCTCCCTTCTAGAATGTGAGATACACACACACACACGTGTGTGTGTGTGTGTGTGTGTGTGTGGTTAAGATGAACGTGTAATATTTGCCAAATAAAGGTTCTCTGGTGAATGAAACCAACATAATAAGGCCTTCTCTCAGGCTCTCACCCTGCCTCCCTGCAAGGGTGGCTCAGCGTTCCCTGGCTCTCAGCCCTGAGTGTGTTTGTGCATCCCAGGACAGTTGACATTGATTGTTCAGGAGACAGACTGAGACACATTAGTACCCAGCTCGCTCCTGCTGCTGAAAAACACATTAACCGGCTGCATTAGGAGCCCTGTCTGGTAACCATGGCAAAGCACACAGGCAGGGAGGAGGGAGGACTGAGACGGGGCAGCGGGTTCAGTGCACCGTCTCTCAGGGGCTGTCTTTCTCAAATGCTCCTTCCCTTTCCTCCGGCCATGTCTGTCATTGTCTCTCAGCTTCTCTTTTAAACAGACAGCTTTTCTGTCTCCCCTTCTCACACACATACAAACAACATTTGCATATTTATTTTTCTCCTCTTGGATCCTCTTTTTGATACTGCCTCTGACCTTACCTCATACTCCACCCCCTTATCTACTGCCCTGTGCAACATGGCCCTCCTTTCTGTCGTCCGTCTACATTTTCTTCTCTTTTCTTTATGATTCCTGTTTGTGGGGAAGTACTGAGAGGTAACCAGGAGGGAAGGATGTGAGATAAACTATACGGAAAAGGAGTTTGTGCTTGTTTGTTATTGTGATTAAATAATTGACTTGTGAATGCACTTTTTGAAGTTCTATTAAAAGATTTCCAGCACACTTTTAAACAACTTTATGTTTATTCTGAAACTCTACAGCCTCTGAGGATTTGATTTGTGCTTTAACATGAAAGAAAACTGAAATGACGTGTAAAACACCCGTTTTGTACACTTTACACAAAATGTAGGCGTTCTTCCATGTTGTATTAAACTATGTTCAAAAAATAAAAGTCTCTTCTAACTATAATGAAAGCCCATTATACCAAATGTTTAATTCTGTCAAATGTAACCATAAGGTGTTTGTTGTGGCCACTAATTTTAAATCAGTAATTCCATATTTGGCACGTGATGGTAGAACTGCTCTGCACACACACACATGGAGCTTTAACTTTTAAGAAGAAAGAATATGTTCTTTCTTTTTTTATCTTGGATCAGACCATGATAAATAAAACATACGTTGTTACCAGCTAACATTTTGCCATCAATGTGCAGAAAGGTGTGGAATTTGACAGATATTAAATAACAAATCAAGAAAAACGTAAAAGTGGTTTGTAAAAATAATGAAAACCATTAAAGCTTCTATAATAATCAAAGGGGTCAGAAACAGCTGGTTAAATATAATTAACTATTGGAATTTAATTGATTATCAGCAAGTATGAACACATCTATTACACATATTATGGTGAATGACAGCAAAAGCAAAAAATAATGGAAGAAAAATGATTCATTGAAAGGGGAAAGCCTAACATAAAAACAAAGCTGCTATTTACAAAAATCATTCTGCTTAAGATCTTTGAATAAAATATTCTTTAGAGATTTTAAAAAATCCAAAGATTTTAGTGAATAAACGTGGAGGGTTTGTAGACTGTGTTGTTTATTTCTGTAGCTAAAAATGAGGTCGATCTGAAAATGAACTCAGTAACCCCCTCGGTAAGCAGTATTAGGCGGAACTTAAAACACTGCGCACAGGTTTCCTTCAGAGCCTCCCAAAACTCACGGACGATCGGAAGTGGCCTTGTGCGTTACGGTAAGAAAGTAGCAAATTATATTTTATAATAATAATTAATCCTACAGCGGATTATTTTAAGGCGAGACAGCTGTTTGGGTTATTGTATCTCCTTCATATTGCTAGCGACTCTTAGCCGTCGCTGTCGAGTTTGTAACTGACTAATAACTCGAAAACAGTCTGGTGCACGTTAAAAGTAATGCTCACTCACTCAGCTACACTTAATGATTATAGCTCTAAAGCTTTTACCCTAAAAGGTGTAAATGTTTTAACCAACCACTCACACATTCTAAATACAATAAACAATGTACGCGTATTGTTTACGTTTGATAAGAGTTCGTTACAGAAGTTAGACGGAAGTTTTCTCACCCCTTTGACTAGTACTGATATTTTACGGTCCACACTTCCACTGGTTCACTTTGAAAGTGACTGAACATTGCCCTCTACAGACTTTTTAAAGTGGGTTTTGGAAAAAAAAAAGTTGGAAGCTGTAAATAAATAAAATGTACTTTTACATTGAAACAATTAACTATCTCAATGTGTCCCACACAACAGTCAAAAACATACTTAAATGTATTCTGTGGGCTGCATGGTGGCGCAGTGGTTAGCACTGTTGCCTCCCATCACTAAGGTTACAGGTTCGAAACTCGGCTGTGGCTTTTCTCCCCATGCGTGCGTGGGTTTCCTCCGGGTACTCCGGTTTCCCCCACAGATCACAACATGCCCTACAGGTTATAAATTGTAAGTCGCTTTGGATAAAAGCGTCTGCTATGTGAATAAACATATCCTAAATATTCAATATCACAGGCAGTCTGTTTCAAAAAAGTCTGACTTCTTTGATGAAATAATAATTGGACTTTTATGTTTTGGGGATTACAGGTACAAACTAACAGATGAGGTTCAAACTGCAGGCAGCAGTATGGAAGAGGAGTAAACTGAGGCGAGATATTGCGAAAACTGATGGGGAGAGGAATGCTGACATGTCCAGTACAAAAGATGGGTCAAAAACAGGACATGCTGTTAAGAAACCAGCAAGGCAAAAATAAATAAATAAATAAAAGTCCGTCAAGGTTGTTTCTGAAGAGTTAACGAACAATGCACCTAAAAGTGGAAGCACAAAGGAATCAATAAAGTGCATGTCAGGAAGTTTAACAAGTAGAGAGGAATAAATGGGTCACATAAGACTATAGAAATGACCAAATAGTTCCCCAAATAAGAAACACTACTTAGAGAAATGGGTAGGCAGTGAGTGGAATGCAGAAAATGGTTAGAGCCAAAATTCAGTGACAAGAAAACAATGTCGGTAAGGAGTCAGGTTCCTTGTGAAAGGGAGTACCCTGTGCCATCCTCTAAGGACCTAAACGAGCCAAAAGTCTAAAACCACCCTGGGGCGGCCAAGGAATTACCCTTGTGCTCGGTCACTAGAGCAAAGTTGACGTGGGAGTATAAAAAGACTAGCCTGGAAATCTCGACGGACAATTGCTGAATTTTGCTATGCACGTCAGTGCTCCATAGAAGCCTCAGCAGGCCTACCATTGGCCTGAGCAGTATTGCGATCTTCCAATCTCAGCGCTTGATTGGTTTGGTGGGTGGAATGATGCGACGAAGTGGAGCAACTGACATCAGTAGCGGTGAAACCTCATGTAGTTTGTTGTCTAATAGCTTGTGGAGACCGTTTGAAATACAACCACAGGTCCTGTCCTATGACTGATATCTTTCTATGGGTCTTGGCCAAACTATTAAAAAGTTTAAAGTCCCATAGTCATCATCACACACCGGTGAAATTCATCTCCGCATTTGACCCATCCCCATGGAGGTGAGCGGTGGCTGCGCTTGGGAACTATTTGGTGGCTCAACCCCCCAGTCCAACCCCTTGAAAGGATCTCTGGCTATGAGGACGTGGATGCTCTAATAAGTCACAATTTTTCTGTTGTACCAAATAATGTTGTTAGAAACACACAGAATATTGCTGTTTATTTATAAATCTATAATATTTAGTACATTGTTGGACATACGTAGGACGCCATGTTTTCCACATGCAATGCACTCTGGGGGCGATGACGTATATTAGTTGCACTTGGAAGAATAGCTATTGAAGCTAGTGTTTGTTTACGCGCTCACCGTATTAATAATTAGGTAAAATGCCGCGTTGTGCTAGCCTAGTGAACTAGACCAAATTCTTGCTTTGCAAAGTTTGGTCTAGGCATGCTCCATTGGAACCTCTGCAGCTCCTACCAGGACTCTGGCTAGCCAATCACAGCTCTCTAGAGGGGTTTCAAACACATAAAGAGCTGTGATTGGTCCATAATAGTGGGTCAATCATAGTGCTCTATCTGCTTAGTGAACAAATCACAGAGCTTTATCCGTTTTGTGGGCCAATCAGGGCACTCTATATGCCTGGTGGGTGGGATGATGCAACAGAGTGAAACAAGAGTATGTCACATTCATTGTCCAGTAGCATGCAGAGATCATTTGAAAGACAACGGTAGAACCCGCCCCACAACCGAGAGCTGTCAATGGAGCGTGGCCAGACTAAATAATACATTTATTTAGTCTGGCTTGCCAGGCTAGCGTTGTGCTGCTTTTGAATGTCATTTCCAGTCAGAGGGCAACAAGGGGAGTGATGTGAGTTTACACAGCTTTCCCACTGGCAAGAAGACGAGAAAGCAGTGGGAAGATGCATGTGAACGGACACAACTTCCCAAAGGTCCGCAGCTGTGTTCCCAACATTTTTCTCCTGATGCGTTTGAGGCTTATAGTCGACCACAACGACTTAAAGAGCTCACCAGAGCGGCTGCTTGGTAGAAGAGAAGGTGGAAACTAAATGCTTTACTGACCATTTTCCCACACAAGGAGCCTAAACGCCCTCGGAGAGACGAGACGCTGGACGCTCTCCTGAGCCGACAACCCGCTCCTGCATCTGCCGCTTCTGTCATGTTGGGTGAACCATCGGACACGTCACTCGTCACGGATGAAGCTGAACATTCACCTCTCCCATCAGTAAAACAAGCAGTAAGTGTAGCAATACAGTGTTCCCCAAATATATAATATCTGCAAAAATGATTAAAGACGTTTCACTGAATATCCTAATCATCTATAAAGCACACGACAGCTCTGGATGCTAATATTCTCCAAAATCATTCATAAATGAATAAGTTTGATCACACGATAGCTTACCGTTAACGTCTGCTGACAAAAATGTGAGCTTTTGACAACAAACACTCTCCCTCTTGGTTACCATGGAGACACATTTGCTGCAAATGCACCACCGGTTTTGTCCTGCACTCGCTTCTTGCTCTTCATTTTGACACTCATTTTGTGAAACATGCTCAGTGATGTCCTCATTAAAGTTTTGCTCTGGTTCAAAGTGAAAAGGCTGAACGGATGACATGTTTATGTCGCTGAACAGTCACTACGGGGTCCCAAAGCCGGCCGGTGCAACCTAGGTACACAACCATATGACGTCACTACCCAGAGTGCAGTGCGACGCTAACAACAATGGCGACCTACAAGTTCAACAAATTTTATAAAAATGAAGACATCAAGAAGGTTTTTTACACCATTTTAATATAAATGATACTAACATTTATCTTTTAAGAACCACAAGGTTTTGTAACCTGGGTTCCTTTTAAAGCTGAGTGTCAAGCAGGGAGGCATTGGGTTCCATTGTTTGAAAGTCTTGGGTATGACCCGACTGGGAATCGAACCCCGATCTCCCAGTCACAGGGCGGACACTACCAGCAAGCCACTGGCTTGCCAGGCTAAGTAAAGACAGATTCTTCTGTTTTAATTCAGCATTTAGACATTTGAGTTGTTTTAGCAAAATGGTTAGTTGGAAACAAACAAACAAATCAAAACTGTTTTGGAAAAGTATGTTTTTTTTTCCACATGGATGAAATGTTTGAAAACTGGGATCAAAGCACCAAATATTAATAATGTAGAATTTCACAGCTGGTGTTCATTATCACCTTTTTCTTGTAAATGAAATGTTTTTTTAATCAAGTAAGGTGCTGCACATATAGTGTGTAATGTAATGTTTTAATACTGTAATTAGCATATATGTTATAAATGAATATTAAATGATTTCTTGCTCTAAACTTGAATAACACTCTTACAACAAATGTTGGTATAACAGCTGTGTGCGCGCGCACACACACACACACACACACACACACATACAGAGGTTTCACTTCTAATTACATTCCTGTTTGCACGTTGATTAAATTCTTTGTCACAAGCGCTTTGCTTCTTTATACCTAATTAGCTTCTACTCCAAGCTTGTGCTTTGCATTGAAAGACCAAATTGAGTGTTTTAGTATTAGATTGCAGAAAATGTTTTTCATATGTATTGGTACAATTATATAATGCCATCATCATCAGCAGCACTACTATGCCTATCAGCTGTAATTAATCTGAGTTCAACTGCAGTTCCACAGATCTTTTACTAAATAATGTTGTTAAAACCTGATAAAGCTGTTGAATCGGTTATTTATTTAGTTTTAAGATCAGGACATAATAAATTAATTATGTAGTTCACGAAAGATGAGTAGAAAGGCGTGGTATTTGACAGATAGCTTATTTAGGACTAATTAAGCAAAACTGCAAATGCAGTGTGTCAAAACAAAAACATTTAATGATTCAATAATTGAATGAATTGGAAACAGCAGGTTAAATAACAATTTATAATTAAAATGTATTTGTTAAGGTAAATGCAGAAAATAAGAAAAGGAGAAGGATTTATTTTGAGGGATTATCGTGGAAAGTGTAAACATAAAAACAAGGCTGGGGTTTGCAAAAATAAACCTACAATCAGATCTTTGAGTAAAAGGTTATTTATTAGAAATCAGAATGTGAAGAGATTTTATTGAAGAAACTTGTAGGGTGTGTTGTTTCTGTAGATAAAATTGAGGTCGAGCTAAACATGAACTCGATAACCCCGTCGGCAAGCAGCATTTAGGCGGAACTAAAACACTGGGCACAGGTTTCCTTCAGAGCCTCTCAAACTTAACGGACAAACGGAAGTGGTCTTAAATTTGAACAACCATCACAGCGACAATAACCGCGCATTTAACGCTACGGTAAGAATGTGGCGATTATATTTATTTAAAAAAACAAGTAATCTTTCAATGTATTATTTTAAGATGAAACAAGATCTCGGTTAATTTCATTGCGGTATCGCCTTCACACCGCTAGCATTTCTTTGCCATCGCAGTTCATTTTGTAACTGACTAATACCTGGAAATCAATCAGGTCCATACGTAAAATAATAAAAAAGAGTCTTTCTGTTAAGTTTTCTACATATTGTCCAAAAGTATTTTTTTCTAGAGAATGCAGATGTTTTAATTAATCATGCACACGGTCTGGATGAAAAAATGAAACCAACAGCCCTATTTTTATGTCCTGACGGTAATGTGAATGTTTGATATTAGTGTATTCCAGAAATTAGACCCAGCCCTGATTTTTTTTGGCATTTCTCATAAATCTTTTAGTTGAACCATTACTTAAAGAATAACAACAAACATACCGTAAGAAATGACTTTAAGATTAAAAAAACGTATAAAGAAAACGCCTTTCTTTGTTTTAAACACAGTCATAATCAACCCAAATAAATTGTTATAGAAAACATCACAAAATAGCAGAATTTACAGCACTGCAGATTTAATGCACCTATGTGGATGGTTAAGTCACTTTAATTTTATTTAAAAATAAAATTTTGTAGACCTAAAAATATGTGGCTTAAGCTAAACAATCAATACGTTTCTTACAAAAAAAATTTTTTTTAGAAAATAATGTAGATCAAAGCATTCTAGACATTTTTGCTGCATGAAATTCTAAAGTAGCCTACTCAGCCTTTAAAAGGACATATAATCAAGGTGGACACTGCTGTCAACATAGAAGAAAGCGATTTATACAATAAAATTAGTTAGAAAGTAGAAAAATTCAATTTGTTTAAAAATTACCCCCCCCCCCCCCCCCCCAAAAAATATAAAAACTAACAAAACATTCTTTGTTTCTAATCTTGAGTTAAATTCAACATCTTAACCTGAGTTTTTAAAAAGCCACAGTGCTGAAGTAAAACTGCAAGGGTAACTGACTTGTTACCTTTCCACTTGAGCTTCTGTTGATTTATGTGTCAATTAAAAATGGCTGAACATTGCCCTCTGCAGACAATATACCACTTTAAAGGTCAGTTTTGGAGAGGGAAGCTTTAAGAGGCTGTAACTGGACAATGTTTACTTTAAACTGAAAGATAAAGCAGTCTGAAATAGTCTCCATGTGTGTGTGCAGAAATAGTCCCACACACTAGTCAAACATACCTATAGGTATATTCCTAACACTTGACATAAGAAGTACTCTGTTAAACAATATAAACGACTTGTATTCTTAGTGATTAAATAATAATTGGATGTTATTTTGGTCTGTTCATAGGCACAAACTAACAGTCGGGGTTAAAGGTGAAAGCAGCAGAATGGAAGAGGAGTCAACAGAAACTGAGATGGGCCGAGGTACTGTGAAATCTGATGGGGAGAGAAACTCTGGCATGTCAAGTTCTAAAAATGGATCAAAAACAGGACATTCTGTTAGGAGACCAGGAAGGCCGAAAAAGTCCGTCACAGCTGAGAAGGTTGTCACTCAAGAGTTGGTGAACAGCGGTTCTGCTACATCTAGAAGAGGACGCCCAAAAGGATCAATAAAGCGCAATGCTATGGAGGAATTGACCATAACTGAGGTGGGACGAGGAGATACTGTGAAAACTGATGAAGAGAGCAACGTGGACATGTCCACTAACCTTCCAATTAAAAGAGGAAGGGGGAGGCCGCAGGGTTCTAAGGAGTTAAAGGTCTATGTTACAGACCTTAACCTCGCAGAACCCCAACGAGGAATTAAGACACACACCAGTACTGAAGACATTTCAAAAAAGGGACAATCTGTTAAAAAACCAGGAAGACCAAAAAAGTCTGTCACAGCTGAGAAGGCTATCGACGAAGAGTTGATGGACAGGGGCTCTGATGCACCCTGCACAAAGGAGTCAGTAAAGCGCAAGTCAGAAAGTTTAACAAGTGGAGAGAAAGAGGGTGGTCCTGAACCACCCCGGAAAAGAGGTCGACCAAAAGGTTCTCCCAATAAGAAACCAAAGGCAACATGGGATGAATCAAATGGCCTCTCAGACACTCTGAGAAGAGGAAGAGGTGCGCCCAGGAAAAGTATTGAACAGAGGCCTGTCGAACAGGAACTGGTTACAGGTGGCTCCCAGCCAGGAAAGAGGGGAAGAGGTCGGCCTAAGGGCTCTTTAAACAAAGTGCACAGTAATGTAGGGCAGCTCCAGAAGGACTCAGGTTTCCTTGTGAAAGGGAGGAAGCGTGGTCGACCAAGACAGAAACCAGGAAAAAGGGGAAGACCAAGGAAATACCCTCTGCCGTCCTCGGAGGAACTGAAGAAGCCCAAAGTCTGGAAGCCCCTTGGGCGGCCGAGAAAATACCCTCGTGCCGAGCCACCAGAGGGGGCACAGCTGGCCCCTCGGAGGAGCCGCGGTCGGCCCCGCAAGTCAGAGGTGAAAAAAGGTGCTCACTTGCGCAAAACCATTCCAACAACTCCATCCACACCACGAAGCCTCGCTGATGGGCTTAAGAGAAAAAGGGGCCGTCCCCCAACTGCTGCAAAAAGTGAAGGTGCCACTCCGCAGAAAAGGGGCCGCCCAAAAGGTTCGCTCAACAAAAATAAAACCAGAAGTGACGGCTCACTCCCTAACCATTCAGCAGCGGAGAGGGTTTCGCCCGCAGTCGAGTTGGAAAGTGGCGTTGCGGTGTTGCTCGAAGCGGACTAGAGACCCTGTCAAGTCGGCTTAATGAAGTCAAACCAAAAACATTTGGTGTAGTAATTTCTCTTGAAGCATAGAGTAAAATCTCGTCAATGACATGTTTTTTATTTTATTACATTTGGTCAGTTTGCTAGGTTATATTTTCAGCAGATGTTCTCGTCTTTTTTCTGACTAACTTTTGACTAAATTTTGCTTTTATTGTGCTTGTTGAGTAATCGGAAAACCCTTTCTTTGGAGCTCTGGGAGTAAATATAGACATGTTCTGTTTTAAATCCTCGTTCAGATGTCGTGTTCCACGTTTTAGTTGTTTCAATGAAATGGTTTGTTAGAAAGAATTTGATTAACTCATTCACTGCCAGCTGTTTCCTGATCGCTAAAGGCCTTCGCTTCGACTTAAGTCGTCAATGGCATTGAATGAGTTAAAACAGCTTCTATTTAGTTTATTTAAGAATGTTTAATGCCCTTGACTAAACAATGCAGTTGTAACAATGATTTTAAGTCTGTTTTTGACATGGAATTATCTTGTTCAGAGTGAATCCATGTGACCGTATCAATGCTGAAGAATTACATAGACGAGCAGTAATTTCCACAGTAATTTTACTTCCACGATAAAGCCTTTTAATCCACTCATCATTGTGATGGAGAAAAGATGCAGAAAAGTTGCACGAGATTCAAATCTGCAACATAATTTTGAATTAATTTAATAGCATTTTTGTCTTTAATTTAAACTTGAAATACTGACAGATTAAGAAAATGACTTCCTGTTTCACCCAGACAGTAATTCTCTAAAGTAGATGAAAGCTAAATGATATTCTTCACTTTGTGGATTTATGTTTTGCCTTATTGTTAGAGCGATGAATGTAAACTCATTCCTGATCATAAACTGATAAAGTGCTCCACTTTGTGCCATTTTTCTTGTGGGAGGTGTCTTTAGTCACTGCTGTTTACATGTTGCTGTCATTTAGTTAATATTTTATAGCCGTGAGAAGATTTTTATGTTGAGATGAAAAGTAGTGTGATATCAGAACGTTGTTTTAAGCCGTTTGTGTAATGTTCAGTTATTGCCTGATATTAAAAGTTATGTTGATTAAAGAAGTGAGAAAAATGTGAATTTGTCCCAGCTTTTAAAAAAATCAACTTTAAATTGGCATTTGCAGTTTCAGTAAGAATCAAATTTGTGAGGCTGTATTTGAATTTAAATTAAAAAAGTTCATCTTACAGTTGAACCTTTTTCCGTGTTTTCTGTTTATATTGTTTGTTCTCCGTTTAATGTTTCCAGTGAGTGTGGATAGCTTAAAAGTGCAGGTTAGAACTTCAGCAGTGGCTTCCTTGTTTGTTTTTATTGTGGGCTCCACCCTCATCAGTCCTGTTTGTGACATAGCACATGGACTATGCACCTCACTCTCTACAGTAACAAAGATCCTGTGTTTATGAGATGATGAACCACTCAGATCAGAACAAACTATTGACAATACAGCTTGTGGGTCACAATATGGCCCAATCCCAATACTCGCACTGCACTCAATGGTCCTCTGTGAAGTGCACTTGGAGGAAGTGCAGAGCAAGGCTGAATCCGTGGTATGCAAGTGTGCAAATAATTGTGAATTGGGACAGGGAGCGTTGCGTTATCGACTGCAATGCATGCCAGGATGCTGGTCACAGTACTACTTTAAAAAAAAACTAACTGAACAAACAATTATTTGAAATAAATTTACATGAATTGCTGCTTTGTTGTATTAAGCATTCTTAGCATAAATTAATCATCCTAAAGTGATCTAATTTCATATGAAAATACATATTTTCCAAAAAGAGCCTTTTCTCCTGTAGCAATGGATTGCGGGTAATCCGCTTCTTGAAGTGCGGATCAAGGGTGCAAAGGGTTTATGATCAACTTCCGCATTTGAGAATTGGGACACCACATGCACTTCCACCGTTGGCCGGGATAACACCATTGAAGTGTGGAAGTGCGAGTATTGGGATTGGGCCTATGTGGGTCACTGGCAAGAAAAATGCAGGCCATGACTACCTGTGCCCTTAGGTCCAGGTCATATTGCGTGTCTTGGTTGTCGTAGACAACTCTTCATGAACAGAATTGCGATGGAACTGCTAATTTTGCCACTTCCGCACTGGCTTCTTTGGCAGGCGGAGTCTGCCCTGTGGTTCATGCCTACTTCAAGCACATGTTGTAAGCCCCTCCCCCTCAATTTAAACAAATAAAAGCTTTATTTATAAAGCGCCTTCCGCAACCCTGTCAGGAAGCCCAAGGCGCTGAAGATGTAAACAAAACTTTCTTGTAAAACATACACTTCACAACTGAACTTACCCTACTGCTGTATAGTCAAATATTCAGTTTTCTTATCCATTTAGTTTAAATGAGTTATTTTACATTTGAAAAACACCAAGACGAGTAGGCACTGAAAACTACGTGATGACGTTGATTCGCCGGTATTTGGGGGGGGGGGGGGGGGCATTCTTGGTGGGAAAACCGTTCCTCCGCTTTTCGTTTTCTGACGGAGTGATACATCCCTACTATTAGCAGCTTGGTTCGTAGGAACTTTCTCTCACCTGGCAGGTAATTTCAAGCTCACCTAGAGAAGGCAGCGAAATTTAGCAACCCAGAGACGAAACGTGGGATCTTTTAATGATGTTATCAAAGTTAAACCAGGTACGTTCAGAGGTTAAAGGTCGACTTTGCTTTGCGTTAGCTTAAAAGTCGCTCATTCTCGCGCACACATTCGGACGCAGGCCTCGTTAGCTACATTACAAAACTTTTCTTTTTTTTTCTTGTTAAAACACCAGACTGTGTTCATCTATTTATTTGTTTATTTTTCACCATTTGTTGAATTAAAACTGTTCAAAATACCTCTTCGAACAGAGGATCAAGAGTTACCATTTTTAACAACGTCTCAGGGACGTAGCTGACATTTTTCTGACGTAAAACGTAATTTTTAAACCATTTGATACAAAAAAGACTTGATGAACTGTTTTATGATAAACTAAACTATAACAATAAATTTTATATTATTAACACCTGAGTAGTTATCAGTTATTGTTAAATCTAAATTATATTATACCTTAATTATTATTAGTATTATTATGTGTGTATAAGTTTTACAGTGTTAATATTAATAGATCATGCTAAATGTTCCTGAGCTAATACTGCAATAATATGTTTATTGTTAATGTTCATCGACATATATACACATTATTTGGTTTTCCCGATGATTTTAATCTATTTTTCTGTCGAAAAGTGATTGTAACTCAAACCTGAAGGATGTGTGGGTGGAAACGCACAAACACATGATGAACAATAATCTTTAATACTGTTGTATCCTGTTTCTTTTCTTCATAGGAAAAATAGCAACTCTTCAGAAAAAAATGGCTTCTGCTAGCTGGAGGGAAAGTTGCTAACTGTGAGGTTTCCAGTTGCGCAAAAAAAGCCTGAAGAGAGAAAACAAGCTTGGATCTCTGGAGAATGTCTGGCCAAGGTGATTTGGATTTAAATATGGAGGTGGTTTTGTCTCCTGCTGGTCAAACTGCAGAAAGGAAGTCACAACCAGACAGCAGGAGGGTGGAAGAGATGAGGGTGAGTACAGATGATGCTGAGGAGGAGGAGGAATTGATGACCTCTGCTCATCTGGAGGCGAGCACTTTACCGTGGCCGGGAGACAAAGACATGAACCTCCTATTGGGTCAAAACGAGGAAGTCTCAGAATCCGAGAGGGACACGGGGATCAGCAGGGGAAGTCTGGACCTGTCAGAGGAGCACAGTCAGGCGGAGGGAGATGTGAGGACCGAGGCCAAGTGGAGGGAGAGCATGCCCGAAGGTGAAAGATGGAGGGACGATGAGATCCAGGTGCAGGGGAAGGACAAAGGAGACGGGTCACTCGCAGACGATGAGGAGGAAGAAGACGAGGAGGAAGAAGGAAAGGAGTGGATGTCAGAGAAACCTTCTTTAGGTTTCACCCCGCGTGTTGAGATTGTGTATCCGACCAGAGAAGATCTTCCTGAGCAGAGCCGGTCCTTCAGGGAGGAGAACGTGTTGAGGGAGCGGGAGATGGAGCAGGATTCGTACGCACGGTTTGACCCCGAGTGGGAAGAACAGGACGGCAAGCTCTGTAAGTGTCTGAGGCATTGTCGAGTTTATCATCTTTTAATTTATCAAATAAATACCGAAATACGTGACACAAAATGTTTAGAAATCACCAAAGTCATTTATAACATGATATGTAACCTTATTACTGTCAAAACAAAGAGGCACAGGCGTCCTTACACAACGCTTTACAATATCTGCAATTAGTCATAATTTAAAGATGAAAACCAGTCATTCAGCTGCACTAGTCATCACAAGTGTACACTGCGGTTTATTACCAAAGGCCTCATTATAAAGACACAGCTGTCTAATAGCAGTAATTGGTTTTAATGGCCTTTCATTGTTTGTCTTTCTCTTTTGATTCAACAGCAGCAACTATTCATTTTAAGGCGTTCAAATTCTAAGAATAAATCAACTTTTCATTTTAGTTTTCAAATTTAGATAAAGCGAAAGAATCCTGAACATGTTTTAATTCAAGCTAAATCATCTCAACAACCTTTAATACAATACAAATATTTGCAGATATCAGTCTAATGGTAGACACTAGACAGAAATAAAAAAAAGCGTAAAGCAAATAATTTTCTCAGTAGAAAATGTTTTTTATGTAAAGTAATTTGTAAAAATGCTTTAAAGTGAGTTAATTTATCATAAATAACAAACTAAAAGCACATAGTAGTGGTGAGAATTTAACGTGTTAATTCTGATCGATTAATTAGAAAAAAAAACAACTCATAAAAAAAAATTACCCTTTAGGCCTGAGTGCTCCCAGTTATGCCCAACATATCAATAAATGTCATCAAGCTGCACCTCTAAAGAAACTGCAGAGCCTGGGCAACAAGACCAAATAAATTTGGTCGATGTGCTTCAAACACAACTAAAACTAAATCAAGTCCCACCCCCAGTGTGTAATTAGTTCTAAAAGCTTAAGAGTTGTGTGTAAGATAGTTCTATTGTTTAAACATTTTTCAAATTTATTTAGTCAAGCTGCACAATAATTTCATGTATTTATAATAAATAAATTAGTTTCATTTCAAGGTCAGTTTTGCCTTTATTTTGTACATTTATTTGTTTCTTGTGTCATTTTTAACTAAAACCCAGTGAACGTGTTTATCTTCCTCAGATCTGTGTGAGAATGTGTGCAGTGAGAAACTGAAGCTGGTTTTATCCACGATGGCTGCGGTGCTCCTCTTTTGGTGTGGGGGGGTTATGCCCTGATTCCCTTTGATCCTCCTCTGCTGAAGAGCGCCCCCCTCAGGGTGCTGTACACACTGCGCTGCTCGTTCTTTGCCATCATCCCCATCATGCTCGGTGCGACGTCAGCATCTGTGTTTGTGGTGTTTACTTCATGCTTCTCCAGTCGTGTGATGATGAGCCATTTCCTGTCTGCAGGTGTGCTGGTGCAGGGCGTGGCCCGGCTACATTTCACCTCCATCAAGCCCCTCTATCAGCACCAGCTGGCAAACAAGGAAGTGATGGTTCACTGGCACTACGTCAACGAGTCCTTGTCGCTCTTCCTCTTCTACTTCCTGCAGCTTGCGCTCATGGCGACTTACATCAGCCAGGACCTGGTTAAACTGGTGCCGCTGCTCACCATTGTGTTCGTTTTCGGCAGGTATGTGCAGATTATATTTAGCTTTTGTTTAGCAAATCAGATAAAAGCAGAACACTGAAATCTTAAACATTTGTATAAGTGTTGCTTTTTGTTTTAGCTGATTAGTCACTAATGTAAGTAAGACAGCTGATGAGGCTGTCCTCTAAAGTGTCCCAATTCTCTTCAACCTTGAAGCATCTTTAACGTTTGAAGGGCTTCTGCTCAAAATTCCAACACCGACTTTATAATTATCCAAGTTCAGACAAAATGCAGCATTTTAATTTATTACCTGTGTAGGAAGCATAAAGATTGATAAGAATTGTTAGAATTGCTGTCAGCGGCTCGTTAGGGTCACCATGGTAACTGTGTAACCCCCTCTCCTTGATCAGCTCATTAAAGGTGTGGTTGACTGAAAAGACATTTTTAAAGAGCAAGTCACCCCCAAATCAACTTTTTTTTGCTGATAAACTAAATAAACGAGTGTAATCGTGCTGCAGACACGTATATTCAATCATTTGGAACTTCAGTGCATCTTAGTTAAAATTTAAATATTCTGCCTAAAATTGTCAGTGTTGCGCCGTCGTCAGGTAAAAATTCTGCACTGTATTTGAATGTAAATCTGCCACCGCTATTGGCTAAGAGGTATGCTATGATGTTAGCTGGTACATTATGATGTCACAATGCCATTGTGAGCGTGTGTGTGTGTTTGTTAGCGGCTCCGCCCTCTCCGTCTGCCAGGCAACAGCATTTGTTGCATTTTTCAAACATGAAGTGGGAGTGAAGTAAATTTCTTGTAGGGGGTGACTTGCTCTTTAAGCATTTTTCCTGATGATAATCTGTGACTCTGAGTGTTTCATGCAGGCTGAACATCAAACAGTCTCCTACACCTAACTCCTGCTTTAGCTTCTGATAGAAAATAGACAATGAAACTCTAGGATTTGAAAATCCTCACAGATCTACGTCACACTGAATTAACATTCATGGACTCACCCATCTTGAACCGCGACAGGGAAGGCTGTTGTTGTTTTAATGACCGGTAATCAGCAGCGGACGTCTCGGCTAGTTTAAACTAACTGCTAGCATTAGCAACTTCACCTCACAGACGAAGTCCTCCAGGCTTGTGTTATTTGTGGAGATAAAACATCAACATTACAAGTCAGTGATGGAGTCACGTTGCTAATATACAACTTGGGACGAATGTCTAAATATCAGGAAATAAGACTGCAAAACCCGCCGTCTGAAGCTCAGATGGGATGTTGCGAACTTGGCCCTGATGAGTCAGGGGTTTGTGGGATTTTTTGTGCCCTGAGTCCTGCCTGCAAGGCATTCATTCTTGCTAGAGACTACTGAAAATATATTGGTTAAAGAGCAAGTCATCCCCTACTAGAGTCTTACTCAACTTCCACTTCCTGTTTGAAAAATGCAACAAATGCTGTTGCCTGGCAGATTGAGAGGGCGGAGCTGCTAACAAATACACACACACATAGGCCGTTTCTCAATATGCATACTTGTCCAAATTTGTGTACTCACATCCTTGTGAAACGTCATCAACGATGGCCTAAGGACTGCTCCAATCCTAAGTCTGCATAATGGCAAGTTCTCTCAAAGTTCCAGGATGTGTTCTTGCTCTGCACACTGTATCAAGGATGCATCAATTCATCCTTCTGCGGACTTGGGACAGCAAAGTTTCCCATAATGCATTGTGTCGCAAACCGTTATTGTAAATAATCGTGTGTAAACTGTAAATTTTGCTGTGTGTTTGAGTTTCACTCTTCACGATCCTTTTAAAATTCTAATTAGCGAACCCACTATCAAAATAAAAGCACGTAGCTCTGTTCTGATGAAAAATAAACTTTTTTTATTCACTAAAGAGTGGGAAATGCTAGAATTTTATTAGTTTTTAGCAAAAGTGGGTCACATGTAATACAAAAAATATGGTTTCGTTGTTATTTAAGGAACAAACTAGACTTTTTATTTTTATGTCCGGTCGTTTCTTTAACTGTTGCAAGAAGCAGCGCTTGTTGCCAGGACACAACGGAGTACGGTCCTCGTCCTCCTGTACTCGGTAGAACAGACTTTCTGGAGTCCTTGCCAAGAACATACTTGTCTAGTACACAAGAACGTACTAGCGTCCTTGAGTATTGAGAAACATCCACAGGCTCACAATGACATTGTGACATCATAATGTACCGCTATTGGCTAAGAGGTACACAATGACGTTAGTTGGTACGTTATGTCATGTGAGTCTGTGTGTGTGAGTTTGTTAGCAGCTCCAAGGGTTGGGCATCGAGCATCGACTGGAACCGGGACCAACTGTTAGTTTTTCCCGGAATCGTTCAAAGTTTTTTTTTCTCCAAAACATGTTTTTGTCTAAATGAAGGTGATGTTGTTGTTCATAGAATTAAAATTCATGCTGAAGTTAAGATTATTTCATCAAGTAGGACCTGTGGTTAGCTAGCTCGTGTAAAGCGTCTCATGTCTTGAAAGAATCGGAATCGGGAATCGATAGGAATCGGAATCCAAACGAGGAGTCGGAATCAGAATCGTTATCGTTAAAAATCAAATGATGCCCAACCCTAGCGGCTACGCCATCTCGGTCAGGTAGGTAACGGCATTTGTTGTAGTTTTCAAACAGGAAGTGGGAGTGGAGTGAGAATCTGGTAGTGGGTGATTTGCTCTTTAAACAAGTAATCCACTCCTTTAAAGAATCAAATGAAAATTAGAAAGTACAAAAACTACTAGTCATACCTAAATTATTTATCTATCCAAAGTGTCAACAAGCCAGCTGCTTGTTTTGATGTGTTCGCACATTGCTGTAAAAGAAATGGACATCAGGTCTGTCAGGTTTAAACACCTAAGACACAATAAACAACACAACACAAGGAAAGAGACACAAAAGTCAGAATTCTGTTTTAAGCTCGAGGAGAATGACAGGGTCTGTGTGAAATCCCTCGCCACTCTGGCCTTTGGAATCCGAGCGTCTCTATTTATTACAAGCTGGGAGCTCCCTAGGTACACGCCTGCAGAGCTGATCTGAAGGGAGGGGGAAAACAGCTCTCAGTCTTTAATTGTTACAAGTTTCGAACAAAGAGCATTCATTATTACACAAGGAACTTTCAGTGTCTAATCACACGATGAGTAGCAAACAGTTGCACGAGTCAGCAGTTGTCAGGTCACCAGATCTCCTTGGGTCATGCTTGGGTCACATTAGGCGAAAACCAAGATTCAGTATTCTAAAGTCTCATGAGGGGACATTCTTAAAACAATACAGCAACTGTTTAATCATCAAATGGTAAAATCTTTTAAGCATAAAGCATGATAAAGAAAACATATATAATATTCTATCAAGGTCTTTCATTCTGAAAGCAGATAAGAGTCTTATTAGATAAACAAATAGATATCAGAAACTGATCTTGGGTTGTTTTTGGCAAAAAATGGGCCATTCCCATCTGTGCCGGGTCGGCCCGGGCCGGGTAGAGTAGGTTGTTTACATATCTGGGTGGCCTGGTATTTTTCCGGGCCAACCAAGGCTCATTCTCAGCCCTCTTCTCAAGGGGGTCTGCTTCAGGCCGACCAGGGCCAACACACCCACTGCTGACAGCAAATTCACACCTTCCATTAGAGCAAGCCTCTGATTGGTGGGTAGAATCAGCCCACATGGGCTTAAGACAAGGATGTGTGGAATCAACCGGGCCAGGCTGGGGCCGACCGGGGCTACCCGGCCCGGGCCGACCCGGTACAGATGGGAATGGCCCAAAAGTTCATGTGAAGTTTATCTGCTGTCAGAGCGATGAGTCATCAGGTGAAGCACTTCCTCTTCAAACTGCTGTCCATAAAACGTTTCTATTCCAGCAGCAGTAATTAATCATTTCCACCGCCGACGCGAGCTGTTGTTTCACAACTGAAATACGCAAACATGACCCGGCAAGATGAGAGCTGCAGCGCCGAGCAAGAGACGGAGGCTGGATCGGAACAAGCCCCCACTTAACAGTAAACGGGTAAAAGTTGCATCATGTGATCAGGCTGGTTCTGACCGTGTTCTGCTGCTTTCCACATCTATGACTGGAATTGGTGCATATCTGATCTGATCAGGCTCGGGTACTAATAAGTACCAATACGTTTGATTTTCATTGACAAGGTTAGATCAAATAGGATAAAGGTTTATTTTTCTGTACAAAAATCGCCCATCTGCCTCCTGTTGGGTTCTCAGGCTCATCTACTGGCTTTGCCTCGCGCTGAACAGCACCATCAGAGGCCTCGGCTTCGGCCTCTCCTTCTTCCCCATCCTCGTCATGCTGGGAGCCAACCTCTACTTCGTGTGCTCGTCGGTCGGACAGGAGTCGGTTTTTGACGTGGCGCCCCCTACGACGGCGCCCCCTCCCCGAATGCGCTGGTGGTTTTAAAAACTGAACAAAAAAACAAAACACTGATGTTCTAAAGGTTAACAGCTGCAGCACGGCTCACTCAGGTATTTTTTTGTATGTTTATAATCTAATCTCAAAGATTTATGCCTCGATTAAAGACGCGTGGTTGTCGTGGTAACAGCTGTTCATGACAGCCCAGTTCAGCATCAGAGATGTTGGTACGTCTTCTGTGCTGCTAGATAAACTCAGGTTTTAATATTTAGGCTGGATTATATTTGTAAATTGTAAATCTACTCGGATGCAGTGAATGTTGACCAAAGGTTCTATTTAATTTGACTCAAATGTAAAATGAGATGGTAAATTAATTCTAGTATGGATCTTTGTTTACAGAACAGTTTACTAAATTTGCGCCTTTTAAAAGGACAAAAACTGTTTTGTTTAGATCTGACATTTGTCTTGTTTTTTACCATAAAGTTTCACAAAGCATCGTCTTTGAGGAAGTGATGCAGCTAATAAAAAGATTAGAAATAAAAATATAAAATGTTTATGTGAAAATAGAAAATGGGAACCTGGAAAACAATATTAACAGCAACTTCACACAACCAGTTTCCTTATTAAACACAAAAAATATTTTTTCATTTAACTTTATAGCTGTTCAAACTGAAACTCACATTAATCTAATTTTCATCATGTTTTAGACACAAAATCTGACCGATTAAATATGAAAATCACATTTTTGTTTGTTTTTCCCGTTTTTGCTTTCATAAAGATCACATTTATGACCAAAACAAATGACTGGATTCATGGAAAAATATTAAACAATCTATAAAGAATAAAATGATATGATGTATTTAATTTATGTATATATATTTAGTTTTTTTTTTAGCATCAGCATTATTTCTGTTGCTAGTGAAAATCTTTACTTTTATAACCTGCTGAATGCTTTTTGATTTTGTCTTGTTTACAGCAGCATCTTTGTGTTTTTGGATTTATGTTGATAAAGGAGATGATCGATAATTTGGATGTTGATTGAGTTCAATAAAGCTTCATAAAACATGCAGATGATTCACTTATAAATTCTATTTGTGTGTTTGCTACATTTAAAATCTGTTTTATACGCAATTACTGTTAAATTGGCATTAAAAGACAAAATAGTGCATCAAATAAGGTCATATTTAGTTTCTTTTAGCCAAAATCTTATTGTGAAGTCTTAATTCGTTTGTGTTTTTGTAAGTGGATACAAAAAAAGAATGAATTGGTTATGGGTAGAAAAATTACATTCATGTTATGAATTATGCAAAAACATAAAAAGTCACACATAATAAAGCATAAAGTAGCATCTTCATACCTTAAAAATAATCAAGTAGTTGATTATTTAAAAATCAAATGTCCTTCAAAGGTTATTCTTATTTTATATAAATTCTGACAGCTCCAGGTTTTTATTAGAAGTGAGTTTATATCACAAGAACTCGCTGTGTTCCTACGGTCATTCTTTGTTGCCCTAAAATTGAGTAGAAGAAGAAGAAAAGATCTTTTCTACAGCGCCTCTCAAGATAAAAATCACGAGGCGCTTCACAAAAACAAAAAATCTAAAAATATAAAAAAGAATTTTAGCAATAGTAATGTTTCATCGTTGCATCAGTGCGGCTCAAGAAGGTTGGAAAAATGTGACGTCAAATTTCACGACTAAAGAAGCACAAAAATCTTGGGAACTATTAAAATAAAAGAGACATGCAAAATTCCAATTGCCTAGCTTAAAAAAATACACCATTACATGAAACCTCTGTGGCGAAGGTAAAAAGGACAGAAGATAAACCACAGATCTTTCGGATTCATGCTGCTATATTTCTCCTTTCCTGTTATTGCGTGACGATATAAAACGTGATCTTACAATTTTACTGATGAATTTGTGACCTTGTGGGACCAGTTGGAACACTTAGGCTGCTGACTGGCATCTGAAACTCTACCGGTGGGAAGGGTTGCAGTAAAACTCGTACATAACTGCTTACATGTGTAAGGACTAGTCTGCATGAGAGATGGTCTCAAGGTCTCACGCATTCGCTTCTAACCTGCTTATTTTCAGCTCAACAGAAGAACGAAGAATGAACTATTTTCTATTAATTAATCAAAGAACTCTATCTTAATAAAGCTAATCCAACAAAGTGTTAGTCAACAAATAAGATGTGACCGATCTGTGAAATCAAAATATTAATTACTTTATTATGATCCTATAGAATATAAAGGTACTATGACTTTAAATGTTCCAACAGGACTCATTTCACGTAGCGTTAAGACATGACACATTGCTTTCACTGATCCAATCAGAATCTGACAGATCTGACGGAGGCGTGGTTTTGATGGTGTTTGGTAAATCTGTCAACTTTTCATTCGACCATAAACCAAAACATCCAAATTATAAAACTATGCCCACGTCATCTTTAACGCCAGTTCAAAGCGTTCCAGAGAAAGTGTCGAAGTGGCCAATCCTGATCTCTACTCTTTAACTGAAAGAACCACCGACAAGCTGGAAAATTCGTTGCTGTTCCAACTGCTGCAACAGTTCCTTTCAGAATAAAAGCTGAACCATCAAGACCCAGGCTCAGGTCTTGCCAGACGCCAGCAAATTGTCGTGACCCGGAAGTATCTCAAGACGGGTGGTCGGCTGCCGTGGCTGCTTCTACAGGCTCCGGCTCCATAAGGTCAAGCTGGACCTCTACACCTCCTGATCTAGACGGGGACTTCCGCTCAGGGTATGTATACCGTCAAATGGCGTTGAATGTGTTTATGAATCTCCTAACCAAAGCTTAATGTGAAGACATCACCTTCAGTTCCCATCAGAACTAATCGCTTCTTCGGATTTGCTGGTTCTGATCAACATCACACGTCATCCATTCACCGTCTCATCCACCTTAGTTACACCATACATTTAGTTTTAAAGACAGTCTAGTTTAATTTGTTAGTGATAAAATTCTTAACTTTTAAACTTGACTCTCTTTCTTCTGTTGTCTCTGAGTTAATACAAAGCTGTTATCTAATCCCTGCATTAAAAAGTTCCAATCTTCTGGTTTAAATAACCTCACATATCCGTAAGGTGGATTTCATATTTCCTATGGAATCCTATACCTTATGGCTTATTAAATAACATGTAATTTAAATCATTACACACGTCCGGTGAACAGCCCGGGTCAAACTGTATTTGGCTAACTGAATGCTGATACAGCATTCCTGTTTCTCTTCTTTACTCCCATTCTACGTCCGTACATTTTTTGAACCATTTTAACTCCTTCAAATTTTCAGCCTTTTTAGCAAATTTGGTATCAAAACATTCAGCTCATTCCGGGCATTACTTCTGGTATTGATAACCTTTATATTTTTTAAGATATTTGGCCTTTTTTTTGTAAAACATTTTTTTTAACCTATTAAAAAAAATTTTTTATGAATGCGGCTCGAATGGCAGCGTGCACCTCCACAAATGTGGGAAATGTGTATCATGGTTTTGTGGTGATCACCCCAACATCAGGGTTTTAGCTTAGTTTCAGCTTCGCTAGTTATTAAGCAGCTTCAACAAGCAGCATGCTCAAACAACATTTCTGCAATAAAAGCTTTTTATATAGTTGCAGTTACACAATGATGTAAAGCCATCATTTCTTTGTGTCATTCTGCAATTATGGCAATAGTTTGGGTACCAGAAATACTAGAAGACCAATTTCTTGTTGGTTTCAGAAATACTTACTTAAATTTAGCCAAAGAGCTGTTTGAGAGGAACTTGGAGAACCACGTGTAGCCCCAAGAGCCACGGGTTGGAGAGCCCTGCCCGCGGGTCATGTCTTCCCCTGAACCAATATTCTAGTGAACTTTGTAGAAAATTTGAACTCCGAAGACAAATGACAGTGAAAAAACTCAAATTTGAATTGGAAACCTTAAACCAAAAGTTAAGAAAAATCATTTTAACGGCAAAATGTGAACCACATTTAAAAAAAACTTCCAATTGGTTAAATTTAGTCTCCCTAATCTACACTTGTGTTATATTCCAATAAATGTTAACAGATTGCAGGTTTTGTTTTTCAGTAAGCAGTGTTTAATATCCAATGAGGTCATGAGAGATGAGTTAATTTTAGCTTCCCAGTTCTCGCCAAAACTGTGAAATGAATCTCGATCAAACGTGTTTGTAGCTGAAGATGAAGGTGCTATGTTGTCTCCGGTCCAGAAAAAAATAAAATAACCACAGATTCTGTTTTCCATTTTCACTCAGTTTGTCTATTTAATATATAAAATACGGTAAAACATACGCAAAAAGGATAAGGTTTCAAGGGACTTGGATACTTTGGTACAACAAACACTTTTTTTGTAAAAGCGGTATAGAACTTTAATAACATATCAGTGCATACTTTGTATATGAAAATATACACAAATTGTATATCATTCTCAAAAAGAAAAAACAACAAAAAAGAAATCTTTTCTTTACAATAAAACCCAAAGCAGACCAGCTCGACACAATATATTAGCTATGAATTTCATCTTTAGTATTTCATATGCTACATTATTCTGAGCCATTTTAAACTCATTTGTGATGCATGTCCTTACCATTACTGTATGTAACATAAGCTTAGGTGTTACCTGTGTCCCATGCATTTACATATTTTTAATTCATGATTTACTAATTTCCGTTGTTTCCTGTTTTATTTTTTTTTATAAATATATTCTATATCTTAATTAAAATTGCAGCATTTAACTGGTATTTCCTTCATTGCATTTGCTAATACCACAACAACTGATCGTGCAATTTTCAGCAAGTTTTTTCTAAAAGTAAAAAAATAAAATAAAAAAAAGGAAAAACCAGTACTATATGTTTATGATAAGGAAGGTAAAGGAAGAGAGGAAATAAAAAGTGTTGGCTATCCTACACAAAAATAGCAATAAAATAAAAGCTCCATAATATCATCATCATCATCATAACAGACGTCGGAAACTGTCACCAGCACAAATTAATCCAAAAATAGTGAGATTCTATAAAACATCGTATACAACAAGTAACAGGTGCAGGTTTTTCTCGTGTTGCTCATGTAGATTGTCTCGTGACTACACTGCAAGATTGGACAGAGAACCTTTTTGTACATTATGACAAAAGTACCAAATAATCTTTGTCGCCACGGAAACGGGAAAAGGAACGAAAAATACGGTTAAGTTATTTATGTGGAGATGGATTCCATGTTTCACTTAAGAATTTTTTGTGTTTGAGAGAAAGAGAGAGTTCAAAGTAAATACGAATTCAAGGCATATCAGCACCTCTGAAGCTACTTTTCCTAAGTTCTCCAGAGAGTTTTGGGTGTGCCCAAAGTGTCCTCCCTGAGGGACGCCCCCAGAAAACCTCTAAAGCAAGATGGACCAGGATGGATCCCCATCTGATGCCTGAATCACCTTTAGCAGGCGCTTTTCGGGGGTAGAACCCAGGAGGGGTCTAATTTTTTCCATCCTAATCCAAATTTTCCTGACCATAAGTTAGTCAAAATGTAAGACACCCATCTTCATCAGAACAGATCATGCTTTCTAGTGCATAAAAAAACATATATATTGTGCGTTAATTCTGTCTGTTCCTTCTAACTGCATTAGTTAGTTTTTTAAATGCAGAAAACGGTTGTTTTACCTTCTTTTTTGCTGATGTTTCAACCACTCCTGCAGTCTTCTTCAAAGCTCGTTGCTGTTGGCGGCGACACTTCCTTCTCCGTTTTTCTGCAAGCGTCCTCTGCTGCCAGCGGATAAACGGAGAAGGAAGTGATGCCGCCAAAAGGCCAACTGGGTGACCTGGCAGGGTTAAGTAGCTAAAATATCTTAGCCTAAATAAAAATAAAAAAAATAATCTATATATTTGCTCTTTTATGTCAAATATGGCCCAAAATAAATCATCTGACAAATCTGAAAATGTGTCCCAAGTCCAGAATAAGTTGAGAAAATGTTGCACAAGCTGTTCAACTAAAAACGGTGATTAAAAAGAGTGAACCTTCAGTCGGATGCTGAGCCTCACAGGTGCTGGTATGCGTTATCTCTGGACAGTTCAAAGTAAGTGACTTCCTGCATAAATAATCCTTGTGCAGTTTGTAGATTTATATTCACCACAGAAAAGAAAAAAAAAACAAGTCCGTGTGAAAAAGTGAATAAGCATGTTCATGTACTGCAATGACACTTTAAGTGTAAAATGTCTTCAAAAATAGGGTTTGGGGATGTTTAACAGTACTAACCTAATCTTGGTTTGATCATGGCAAAACAACACTGCCATCAAATGTGTCGCCCTATCAGCTTGAGGTTCTTTTCCGGACACTCGCCACAAACCAACAACGTTGTTTCATGAGCTGCATCTGAGTCTGTGCCAGCCACACGGGGCTTTATAACCCGGGACAGTTTATACGTAGATAACCATCAGCAGCTGCCACTAAGCGTCGTCTCAAATAGGAAAAAAAAAAAGCAATCGAGAGAAACCGTTCTATTAAATAGCCGGGGTTCACACACACACACTTGAAACGAAAACCAATCCACTGACTTTAAAAGGGAGAAAAGGGGAATTATAATTATTTGTGTCTGCTTAACGTGGATATTTTACATGATACACTCAGATTTAAAGTGTATTTTATCTCTAGTACTACTCTAAGTGAATGGCAGTGTCCTAATAATATTAATATTAAACATTACTAATAATAATGAGTTCACACCACCGTGTAAGATTTACCTTTTGATTGTGGGTTTGTTTATTTTTTTTTTAAACGTGGCAAGAGAATATGACACCACAACCAAGCAGGCCTCTGTGAGTGAAACAAAGTGCGCACACCATCAAACACTAGAATAAAATAGGATTACTGAAACTAGTCCGATCCACCGGCGTCACAAGAAGGTGGCGTGAGCCCTGCGACGTGGCGCCGAACGTTACCCAAGTCACACTCGTATATGCAAACAGATCCACTGAGAATCGACACATTGCTTGTTTTTAGGGATACCTAGCAAAGTCTATGCAAATATATTCATATGTACATACACGTGGTTTGAAGCTGAAAAGCTAGTTTAACTCTGTCGCCAACTCGAAGCGGTAGAAATATAGAAAACGTCTTTTTCCTTTCACTTTTTCGAAACACAGCAAAGAGCTAAAGGAGATATAGAGAGCTAAAGAGGACATCAAAGCTTTTGAATAAGGAGTGATTTTTTTTTCTCTATTTATTTTTTTAGTACAAAGTCGGATTTTTCTACTTCTGGACGACTAACGGACCTTCAAAACAGATAAAGAACACTTGGACTGAAAGAACCAAACACTTCCCTACTCCATAAAAAACAAAAAGGAGGCTCGTAGAAGTTCCTATGCGTTTGATGGATGGCGTCTTAATCCTGGCGGATTTCTAATGCAGCAGGAGTTTGTCGTAGATGAGGAGGAGCACAAAGTCCATCAGATTAATCGTAGTCCTCCGAGTTTTCATCATGTGAGCACTGTGAAGCTAGAGGCATTTGGCATTTGTATTTCATCTCAAAGAGACGCTGATATTGGCACTCCTGCAGGGTGCTTGACTCCACCTGAGGAGTTGCGTGACGTTTCTGACCGTGGCAGCGCCGCAACAAACCAACTAAAGAGTCCTCAAACTTGTCCTGGTGAAGGTGAATCCAGTGGCGAAGTCCAGAAGTGACCTACGGGTTTGAGTGGACAGCACGCGTTAAAAATGACGTTTGGATTGTAAAGAGCAGGAAGTGGCGAGTCATGCAGCGGGTGTCCCGTAAAGTCAAAGATCCACCGATCACGTTGTAAACCATGTAAAAGCTACGTGTGAATACGACAAGGTGATGCAGAAACCGTATGAAAAAAATGTTTCTGTGGTTTCGTCGAATCGCCAAACAACCCCAAAACAAAACATGAACATCTAAAAAGCACAATACGGGAGTCTGTTCAAGCAAAAAGGCTTAAAAAAAATCTAGCGTCCTTCTACTGGAGGGCAAACCTGGGACGTAAACTCACCCCTCCCTTTGCTCAGGCCCTCGGGTCCAGATGGTTTCTATCTTTTTGACTTTTTATGGGTTCTTTTGAGAGGTTAAGTCTAAGAGACAAAGAGTGAAGCGGGATAGATGTGATGATAGTGTCACGTAGCAGTGGGGTGGGGGCAGTAGGGGGACGGGTGGGGCTAATGATGACGGTGCATTAAAGTGTTTCAAAGTCACCAAAACTCCAATACACCTGTCGTTTATGTGACCCAGGCGTCCAACCTCATGCGCTTTATGTTCCCTCCATCCTGCTCTGGTTCGTTTGATGACCTGAGGAGTTCGGCACCGGTGCCGCCGGCTGTGCCGCCACCGCCGCTAGCGCTGGCGTCATCTCGATCGCTGCCTTCGAAAGAGCTGGCGTTGCTGCTCACGCTGTCAGCAGGAGAGCGTCCAGTCGGGGGCTCCAGGCACAGCAGGGACCCGGGGTACTGGGGCGGAGCGGTCAGAATGGCTCCAGCTGACGTTGAGGACGGTGTGGTGGAGGACGGTGGAGGACAGGGTGTGCTCCGATCCCGGCCGGGTGAGACGGGCTCCGATTTGATGCTCACGCTGGAACTGGTGTTGACTGTCAGCATGGCGCCCTGAGGGATGTTGGTCACTGGCCTGAGTCACAAAGATGAGACAAACGATTAAAAACCCCGACTACAGCAGGTGATTAACGCGAAGGCCACTCGAGTCAAGACAAAACCCAACATTACAGAGCACAGCACCGACATAGAGAAGCCACACTCCGTTCTTTAACTGCACACTTCGCTCTGAGCCTTTTAAAAGCAGAAGCAGCTCCCCAACTGCTCCCAAAAGAGCAACAGAACAGCCTAGAAAGCATGAAATGGTTGGTGTGTGACAGGGTGGCTTTGCAGTGAGTCGTCTATGATGTGAAGAAACTTCAAATTAAAATAAAAAAAAAGTAATTTTGGGTTAGGAAACATGGCAGAAACCGGACGTCGCTTTCCTGTTTGGCGGAGGGCATGCTCAGAGGGAGGCAGCCGCAAAGCGCACAGACACACAGGAAAAAGGAAGTGTGATACAGTACCGGCCCAACCACTCATCTCTACCCAAGAGCAGGTTGGATGGAGAGCCAACACTGTGGGAAGAAACACAAAATGTTGGAGCCCAAAACCAAAAGAAGGAACAGGTGGGTTAGACGGCAGGTGGGGAGGAGAAAAGTGTGAAACATTATTGCAGACAGATATTCTTTTTTCTATTCCTTAAGAACAACAGCAATAATGTTCATCAGGAAGACAAAAATCAGACGAGACTTGCGTTTATTAAAGAGCAAGTCACCCCCAAATAAACTTTTTTTTTGCTGATAAGCTAAATAAACGAGTGTCTAATCGTGCTGCAGATACGTGTCGTCAATAATTTGGCACTTCAGTGCATCTTAGTTAAAATTTAAATATTCTGCCTAAAACTGGCAGTGTTGTGCTGTTGTCAGGTAAAAACTATGCACTGTATTTTTATTTAAATCTGCCACCGCTATTGGCTAAGAAGTATGCTATGATGTAAACTGGTACATTATGATGTCACAATGCTGTCGTGAGCCTTAGTGTGTGTGTGTTTGTTAGCGGCTCCGCCCTCTCGGTCTGCCAGGCAACAGCATTTGTTGCATTTTTCAAACATGAAGTGGGAGTGGAGTTAGACTCTGGTAGGGGTTGACTTGCTCTTTAAAGTCTGAATCGGTGCCAAATCTACCCCCACCTCAGCGTTGAGCCCCTTTCAGACATGAGACATGACCTTTAGGTAAACTGATCCTCAGTAGCTTCGTTATTTCTTTACAACGGGGAGGGATGTGCTGCTTTTTGAAATCCTTGAGCCGACCCGAGTGTAAATATTTTCTCCTTTGAAGGAATCATGTATGATGAAAAAAAAAAACTGCGAAAGTGTACTATGATTTATGTAGAATTTCTTTCTGCCATTGTTTTAAATGCACGTCTGTATTAAACAAAATAGTTATTAATGTAAGAATAAAGCATCTTTTATTTCACCTGAAAACATTTTTCCACCACCTTCAGATCAACCAAATCCTTGTAAGTCCCCTCTCACCCATACGTTAGCTTTTTACTAAGGGTGGGACTCAATAGAAAAATTAATCCAATTAATTATTAGACGATTTGTAATTAGTTAATCACATTTTAATCGTTCAAGGAAATTTGACCCAAGCAATTTCTTTTAGTAAAAATAATGTAAGTGAGACACAAATGACAAACCAAAAGGTTTATTTGAACACTTTGATCTCATATAAAGGTAACAAAATATTAGTATGTGTAATTGATGAAGTGTAAATGGACATGGGACGTTGTAAATGTTGTGTACTGAACTGAACACTAGGTGGCAGCACTGCTGAGAGAGAGAGAGAGAGAGGTGTAGTGTAGAGTAGAGTTCAGGGGAAGTTCTGCTGAGCGTTACAAGATGAATTCTGAATGTACGCTTGTTCCTCCTGCTGTAATAAAGTTCATATAAATAAAATTACTGCCTGCCTTCTTTCAAACAGCTAGAAAACATAATGGTAACAATGTTTTTGTTTCTTTCTTTTCTTCATGAATTGTGATTAGTCATGGTTCATTGAACTATAGTTTTAGTTGTGTTTAGAGCATGTAAAACAGGTTTATATGGTCTTGTAGCTCAGGCTCTGCAGTTTTTTTAGAGCTGCAGCTTGATATTTTTTGATATACAGAGCATGAATTATGATGCTAAACTTTTTCGGCCCCCAACTGAAATTTTTAACGCGTTTTTTTTCTCCCTAATTTATCATAAAATCCCACCCCGACAATGTATAAATGAATAATAGATCCGATCTAAGCAGATCTGTGTTGCACAAAACAGTGGGGAATGTGAGTGGTTTCAAATATTCATAGAATTTCACAGGTGTATTCGGTAAAATGCAGCTAATGACCAAGTTTAAAAAAAATCACGGAGGAGAAATCTTTGGACAGACTGATCTCGGCTGCTGATCGTAAGTTGAATCGTCCTACAGCGGATGTGCACGCCTGCAGCGGGTCATTCGAAGCCAAGCGTGTTGTGGTTCAAAACTCTGGGATGTTTTGAAATAATTACAAATTAGTGCATGTCTGAAAGGGACAAACAGATAAAATGAAAGTTTACGCTACAAAACTCACAAAAACATAGCATAAGAATTTGATAAACCATTTCATCTTTTCCCAGGTAAAGTCTCCCGCTCTAACAGGTGTGTTAGTGTTGCGTTAAAGGCAAATGCAAAGTAGAGGAAAACCCCACATCCACTCGCAGACAAGCTCATGACATTTCACACAACAGTAGCCGTGGCTGTTCACCTCAGATTGGCAGCCAGACTGGACACTTGGCTAGACAGCTCGCTGCTCTGTTTGTCCACGCCCCACATGCTGTGGACAAAGGAGAGAACACACTTCAAGGATCTGCCTCAGAGCGCCTCGGTCACACTGCTGAGCTAAACACACTTCATTGTTATTAAACCCTGGTGAAGAGGGAAAACCAGCATCTGCTCCAGCTTCATTAGAACGATCGGATCGTCCCTCAAGGGATAACTGCATGTTGTCTGTTACTTTTATTCCAAAGAAAAATTCAGACTAAATTAATCAAAACTGTTTTGAAACCATTAAAGGCGTTTGGGTTTTAGGAACTGTCTGGATGCACAGATGCTAGCAGGCACGTCCTTGACTTTAGCTTGATGTTCTCCTTTGACTTGAGCAACAACCAACTAACCCGGGCTTTCCACCAGATGCACATCAAGCTGTTGTATCATAATTCACACTCAGAGATATTTCCTGTCACATTTATCGTAGATAATCTAGATTAAATTAACTGTAGCAAACACTTTGGTTTCATCTTTAGTTTTACTACTTCTTCGGGGGAACCTACTCAACTGCATCCCGAATTTTCAACATTTGGACGTTAGTTTTGCTCTCTGCTTGTGTTTATGCACCAACCCTGAGGTCTAGTGCAGCTTTACTTGTCAAATCTTAATATTTTTAGGTCAACTGGCTACTGTTTTTATTTTCTTTCTGCCGACTCAAGAGTGGGGTCAACTGTTCGGAGTGATGTGATGAAAAGGCTGAGATGGTGAGATGCTGGTGAGCAACCGCTTCACTGAAGAGGATGCAAACCGCTTGCATCTGAGGTCATGGTATGTAAATCATGCATGCGACTGGGCGGCTCATCAAGGGCGTTATTGAGAGTCAGAGATCTGCCAGACGAAATTCGCTATGTCCTCCAGACGTGGACGGAGACACCATCAGACTTACACCAAGTTGCTAAGTGATGCGAGATTCAGTTGCTGCTGTTGCGTTTGCTGTTGTTGCTGAGGCTGCGGTTGCTGGGAGACCACCTGCTGCTGTTGCCATGTCGACACGCTGGTTGGCAACAAGCCGCCGGGTGATGCCAGAGCGTGTAGAGCGGTGAGGTCTGCGCTGGTAAGCTGGTACTCTGGGAGGACAAATCGAACAAAAGTCAAGACAGAAACCGCAGAGACGAAGATTTTTCTCAGCCGTCTGGTTTTTATGGTCCAGCCGTGAGTTCCTGGCTTCACCTGTGTTGTACGCTGTGGGGATGGCGGAGAAGGGCAGCCCTTGAGCCAGGAGGCTCGGTGTGGTGACAGACACCACCGGCGTGGTGAGGGATTGTGCCACCTGGGCTCCAGCCGCCAGCCGCTGAGCGTTCTGTTAGAGAGGATGGAAAAGGGTTAAAGCCAGCGTCCACGTAGAAGCCACTATTTTCATCAGGACATGCTGGAAATGAAAACGTGAACATGGTTGGATTCAGAATGATGTCACACATCAAGTCGATCCCAGGATGTTTTTGATGACATGCGTCAAAAGTTGCTTTTGTGATTCGAGTGAAGCATGTAGGAGAATTACATCAAAGGCAGATTATTCAGACCTCAGTCACCGGGCCTAAACTACTGAAATTATCCGCTTATTTTTAATTATTCCGTGACTTTTCTAGTTTTAAAACATAGAAAATGCTCAAACACAAAATCTGGCAAACCGGGGTTCTTTTTTAAAACAAAAATTATATCCAACATGTACTCTAAAAGGCCAAAGATTGAATAAAAGTGTGCAGGAATCACTTTCACGTATGAAAGGAAACTTTCAATGAGAATCGTGAAAATGTACAAAAGGAAAAGAGAGAGAGCGCAGAGAGGCATGACATTCAATTATCTGCCTCCGTAAAGTGAAATGAGGAGGAGCGGCGAGGTGGGAGTGATAAAAATTAATCACCATCCTCTGGAAAATGAGAATACTAGACGTCCATTCAGACAAAATGAGAGAGCAGAAGTTCTCAGAAAGTATCCTAAAATGGATTAGATTTTTTTTCCAGGATAGCAGAAAAGAGGTAAATCATGGATGTATTCTTATGAATTTAGGGGGTTTTCTTCACAGGGTGAAGATGGGAAGTCCGATTTTTTTAATAACCACTGAAGGCGTCGTTTAAGGAAGCCAATGAGACTAAAAACTAACAACTTCATGGGTGAAGTGTTTTATAACAACCATTTCCAAATATGGAGAAATCAGTCAATTTAAGGAGGGGGTATTAAAATCATAATCTGGATATATTTAGAGAAAATCACAAAAACAAGTCAAGTTGTGAATAAAAAAAAGCAACAGGGGCTTCAGCTCTCCCAACGTAATAATCCTAATTTAGATGAAGCTGTTCCCCAGTCCTGTTGTCTGCACTAAGGCTGCAATATGTAAGAATGACATCCTGTTGTCAAATGTGGTTACTGCAGTCTAGTTTTCTAGCAAAAAAAAAATCACACTCACTACCGCTCCATGAGCTTCGTGGCTGTTGCCAGTTACTGATCAGTGCCAGAAGATTCTAGATAACAAGTCATACACTGTAAATGTATAAGTAGATAAGTACATGGTCATACCTGCTGTTAGCGCGCTTGGGTGTTTTACGGTAGGGAGCACTTACTTCAATTACTACGGTAATATTTCTCCAGCATTACCGGAAGTGTAGTTGTTAACTTGCTGTTATTGTTCTGAACGACTCATTAAAGGAAGTAAAACTCGACGATTGACACATTATTCACGTCACACATACATTTCACTGTAATATTGAGTTGTTAGTAATTGAAATAGTAGCTTGACATATTTTTAGAGCCGACTATTTGCTTCTAATTTGCCATTGGCATTGTTAGCGCAGCGTTAGCTGTTAGCCTTTAGCCTGCTTAACCTAATGTTAGAGTAAAACAAAAATATGCTGTGGCTTCTTAGGGGTACAGGAAATAACTTCTGGGTCGCTCCTGTTTCCTGGCTTTGGTTATTTAAACAACTCTGGAGCTTTTTGCCTGCTCGTTGGAGACACGGCTAGGGCTGCACAATAAATTGAAAAATTATTGTCATCGGGATAACAGGACGTGCGATAGGCCCATCCCAAAACACGTCAAAAACGGCGATAAATGTTTGGTTTAAACATTTCCATCCGTGTCATACATCAACTTTTTGTAAACCAGCTCTGCTTTTTACGCGGAAGTATTATTTGACCAATCAAATGTAGCCCTTCTGATATGCGGCCAATCAGATGGGTCCGTTTACGTAATACACCCGCCCCCTACGTAGACCCTTAGGATGGAAAGCAACACCCAGACTGAGTTAGCTTAGCGTCGAAATGGCTGAGAGCACGAGTGAGGAAAATGTTGGCGAGGATGATGACCTGGTCAAAAAAAAAAAAAGGCAAGTCTCTCATTTGGAGATACTTCAGTTATGAGAAAGACGACCTACTACAGTCAAAAGTACTCTGCAAGTCTTGCCAAAGAGTTGGGGCTACTACCGGGGGAAGCACAGCATGCTGCTTGCTGCCACGTAAAATTCTTTAAAATGTATGGAGTTTTCCAACAGTGTTTGTTGTTGGTGCTGTTTTTTGCCAGTTCCTCTTCTGAAAGGTAGACAATTGTTTTTCTCTTTCCCTCAAAAAATCTTAATTTTCTCCTAGTTTGGCCCAGCACAGTTCACTTCCCAATAGCAGCAACAGCCTTATATCATAACCACATAAGTGGAGAAAATGTTCAGTAGCAATGAGAGAATTTGTTGTTGCATTTAAGTGATGTTAACTATTATTTAACATTTAAAGTAATTTTCTGATTTTTTTATTTATTCTAAAACCCTGGTAAGGGATGTTTTCTGTATTTGGAGCATCAGAAAAAGTTTTATGGTGGAGGTGATGTTTTAAAGTCACTGAGAAACTGCATGCATGCAGTTTGTTGTTTTGCTGCTAATACAGTAGCAGGTGCAGCTGCATATTTTTTTCAATAAAAACGTTATGTTGTAATGGAATTCATGCATTAGTTTTTGTTTGCTTTGAACCCAGAGCAGACGTCGCACGCCAGACGACATCAACACTGCATACTTTAGTATTTGTTCATTTATCGCAAGTAATATCGATATCACAATATTAAGCACTGTTATCGAATATTGCAGGTTTTCCTAATATCGTGCAGCCCTAGACACGGCAACTTCGCAAAGACACTGATTGTAAACAAAAACGACACCCCGCTTTTGTTTTTTTTTAAAGGAGAAAAATGACAACCCCTTAGCCAGCTGAGAATGAAATCTGTTTCAATGTAACCTTCTTTCCAACAAGTTAGTGATTATTTCACTGTAGAATTCTTACATATTGCTCCTTTAATGCTGTTCAGTCTTCTGCTTGAAGGACAGATAAACGTTTTTGAATAGAACTTTAGTCAAAATAGTCAAAAACTCTCAAAAGGTGTTTACACTCACGCAAAACTATGAAAAGAACCTAAAAATAATTTAGATTCGAACAAATGGAACTTAATTATTTGGCAGAACAAAGCTACTAATTCTGAAATAAATTTCAAAGATAATGGATTAGAGGTTAACTTAATGTAACTGAGGGAAATGTTTGCATTAAATGCCTTTAATGTAATTACAGGAACATTTTCAAGAGCTTAAATGTTTGGGTGAATGGTGAAAATGAGTGTGTGTGTGTGTGTGTGTGCGTGTGCGTGCGTGCGTGTGTGTCTCAGTGACCAGGAAACATGCTCTGTGCTATGGTGATCTCACGCCCATGCTTTAAGTATCATCATATGATACGATGAGGTGGACCTGATTCAGACCTGAGGGAAATGCCTCAAAGACATTTTATCCCTGATACTGAGACTAAAGAGATGCTGGAACAACACACTCATGATTCCTGATCCACATGCAGTCAGGTGGGGAGCACAAACTCAAGACCATCTTAGTAAAACAAAACCCAAACAGGAAGTTCCTGCAGGGAAGTGCATCCATGCTAACAATGTGTGAACTGGAATCGACTCATGCGAGTGACTGGAGTGGAGGAATCACCTCGTTTACCAATTCCAGCTCATCCTCTGTCTGCAAAAGGCGGTAATGGAGAGGGTTAGAGCTCTGGAATAAAACAAAACTAAAAACCAGTTCATCCTCATCTCTGCTCAGCAAATCCACTATGAAGTCCTTGTTGATTTAAAGTCAATAATTAAACATTGAGTGGAGGAAATGTGGAGCTTTCCATGACATCACACAGTTTTATTGCAATAAAAAAGTGTCATGATTTCTGAGCCATAAGTGAGGAAAGGTTTGAGAAAAGTGACTCCAGAAGTATTCAGATTTAACTCTTTGCTAAGTCTTGTATCTTAAAAGAGCAAAAGCTGCTTTAAATATTGGGTTTTCAGAAACTTTAGTGAACAAAAGAAGTAAAAAAGGAGATTATTCATGTTGATGGTTGAAGTGGCTCAATCTTTTTCATTTAAAACCCTATTATTACGTCATTTAAAATGTTTAAACATGCATTAAGTATAATTAGAATGTAATAAAATGGCCGTTTTCCAAGTAAATGTGTTTGAAAGGAGACATAATGCAAAAACTCACCATTAACATTGTTTTGTGCTGCCATGTGGGTCTTTAGTGCCTCTTTATTCACTACAAATGTGAAAAATACCCCTATATCTGATTTCTGTTAGTGTGTGGTTTTAGGAATTATGTGCCTAAAACAAGCAGTTTCAAAAAGTCCCCGTTTGTGATGTCACAAACAAGGAAATTAGAATAGAACCAATTATCATGTACAAGTAAAAGCTTCTGCTGGAGATGCAGCAGCTCTACTCCAGCCTCTCCCAGATAAGTGAGCTTCTCAGCTTATAGCAGCCAATCGGGATTGGTGGGCGTGGCCACCAACAACTTGTTTTTTTAAAGTGACAGAACACTGAAATGGCTCATTCTGGAAGGTACTGAAAATTTCCAAAATAAAACTATATTATCACTTTAAGTGAGAAGGATTTAGTGCAAAGAACTTCATAAACATTCAAAGTTTCATCGTATGGTTGGGTTTAGTGGGTCTCACCATCTGCATGAGGCTCTTCCCGCCCTGTGAGGTGATGACTCGGAGGTCTGGCTTACGGCTGTTGACCATCTGTGGGCTGGGAGGTGGGGGCGGAGACTTGGCCGGGACTACTTTCCCCAGACTGTTGCCGTTGGAGACGGTGAGCAGACCTGGGGAGGCCCTGGCGCTGGTGTATCCATTAGCTGCAGGGGAGACGGAGGTGCAAATGCACGGAGATCGATGGCAAAAATCAAAACAGGTGAATTCACGCAGCGGGGTGCAGACGGCGAGCGAGATGCATTGCATGATCCTTTAAAGGTCCCTCTTTCAGATGCCTACTATCGTGTGAGGAGGAATAAATTAAAAGCTTTGTCAAAGTCACAAGAATGAAGGTGTTCATTAATGTCACAGGGAGATTAAACACAATGTCGGAGCTATTTTATTCCCTCAAAAGCTTTTCTATGATAACAAAAAACACTAATAATAAAAGACATTTTTCATCAAATCTGTGTTTCATTTTTACAAATAACACCAGTTTAAATAAGCAGATGAAAGGATTCAAATAAATACAACAAAGAGATGCTGACATTCACATTTATCATGCTAGCGTTGGAACTAGCATCTTTAGACCAATGTGAGCTAAAATCCCAACAAAGGAAGAATAAAGACTTCAACAAATGATTAAAATAAATGAGAAAAGGTAAATCTACTCACGGACTGGACTTGGACATCCTCCGTTTGAATTATTCAGATCTCCGAGAAGTGCTCCTAAAAAGCAAAAATATGTTGTGTGAGTAAAGGTTTCAGGCTTTATTCAGCCTGATGTTTATTAAAAAAACAAACACTTAACCCTCTACTGCAATGCTTACATTTAGTACTCTAACTTTTACTCTTATTTTCACAAAGTGACGGCACGAGTTAATAAAGTGCACCCGTCTCACTTTGCATCTACAAGCAAAGAACAGTAGTTCGCTGCATTTGTGTGGCACAGGAAAAGGAAATCCAGCGTGGAACAGTAAAGGTTTTGTTTCAGTGGCTCAGCAGGGAGGGAAAAAACAACAATCAGCAGCACCTGCAGCGCTTCGTTTAACGTCACAGCTCCGAAAAATCCTAATCGTCTGCCCAATCAAAACGTTTCTATGTGCTGAAACTTGTTGGAAAGTTTTGAGTCAGTAGCAACGCGGCTGTTTGTTGGCAGCGTGAGTGAAGCTGTTTTCACTTCTTCTGCTGCCCACGTGTGTCTCTGTTCCACCGCAACACGCCCACATGCAAAGAAACAGAGGGGAAAGCAGCAGCAGGAATGGATAAAATGAAGAGTTTTCACTCAGATGGGTTAGCATCACTTGGGGCAATTTAGCATAATAACGCAAGGACATGTCTTTTACCGAAGGGGTATAAAACAGAAATAACACTCAGGATGTCTCCTGATTCACTGCCAGTGACGACTAAAGTTGTCACGTCACATGATCAGGAAGCAGAAAATCCATGTGTTAGGAGATCGTTTTGGAACGCTGCTGTAAAAAAAGTGAGGCGTGAACCGGAAAAGCTTCTGCCGATCACAATTCAACAACGGATTGTGAAAGAATGGATAACGCTCAAAACACACAGATTCTTCCTCATGTAAGAGGTGAGTCCACTCTTTGTTTTGTTAGTTTTGGCGTTGACATCATCCTAGCGCGCAACATTCTGCGACTCTTAATATAAAACAGTAAAAACGCTGAAAAACACTGGCTGAATTCAATAAGCGCTTTCGTTTTGTGTTTTTACTGAAAAGTCTAAAAATGAGGTGCAATAAAGAAATAGAAACAGGTTTTATCATAAAAGGATTATAGTACTTAATGATATATACATTTTGAAACCTATACGCTACAGCTCTTAATGTACAATGGGGCAAAAAGTATTGTCAGCCTCCAATGGTCCAAGTTCTCCGACTTAAAAAGATGAGAGGCCTGTAATTTTTATCCTAGGTATACTTCAACTGTGAGAAATAGAATAAATAAAGAAAATTCAGAAAATCTCATGTCTGATTTTTATAGAATTTTATAATATTTGCAAATTATGTTGGAAAGTATTTGGTCAATAATGAAATTCCATCTCAATACTTTGTTATAACCCTTAGTTGGCGATGACAGAGGTCTTCACCAGGTTTCCACAAACTGTTGCTGGTATTTTGGCCCAATCCTCCATGCAGATCACCTCTAGAGCAGTGATGCTTTGGGGCTGATGCTGGGCAACACAGACCTTAAACCCCCTCCAAAGATTTTCTATGGGGCTGAGATCTGGAGACTGGCTAGACCACTCCAGGACCATGAAATGTTTCTTATGAAGCCACTTCTTTGTTACCCGGGCGGTGTGTTTGGGATCATTAGCTACGTTTACATGGGCACAAGTCATCAGAATGAACACCCTATCAGATCAAACATTCTTCATGTAAACACCAGAATATTCTGATCCGATACGGCCCCGATACGACTGAGAGAGGTGGTTTTGTCTGATCATCATTCCCATTGACATCCATGTACACACTCAGATTGTTGGAGTAAAATATTGCTCGCTGCGCATGTGTACAACTTCAGCTTGATGTCTTTCTGCCTTTGCAGACACTCAGAACAAGTCTGAGGAGGTGGAGGACAGTGTGAGTGGGTGATCATTAATGCGTTATCCTGCTCTTCTCTCCTGTGGCGAAGGAGCGGTAGCATTACGTACCGCTAAGCCTACAGCTTAGTTAAGGCGATCAGTTAAAACAAAAGCATACAGGTAAAAATGCGAAGGAGTTCCATAACGGGAAAAAAAACGTAATCCATCAGACAAAGCTAGAGAATAAAAAAATAAAATGCGAGGGGAAAAACGTGCGGACAAGAAGACATTTGTTTATCCTTTTTTTCTGGGAAAGACAACTTTGTGCATGCTCAATAATTTAATCTGACTGAATGCTTGGTGTATATATACTCACAGCATGATCGGATCATTTCAGTTAGTGTCCATACGAGATCTGCGATTTCCAATAAACCTAGATTTGAATCGGATAGGGGAAATATGGAGCATGTAAACGTAACTACTGTAATGCTGAAAGACCCAGCCACGTTTTGGGTTTTCATTCATTCTTTCCTTTACATGATGTTTCCACCCCGTGCTTTACAGTAGGTGTGGTGTTCTTTGGATGCAACCACGACGAGTCGAGTTTTTACCAAAAAGTTCTATTTTGGTTTGATCTGACCACATCACATTCCCCCCAATCCTCTTCTGGATCATCCAAATGCTCTCTAGCAAACATCATCTGGCTTATGCAGGGGGACACGTCTGGCACAGGGTTCGAGTCCCTGTTGGGGTAGTGTGTTACGGATGGTAGCCTTTGTATCTTCAGTCCCAGCTCTCTGCAGGTCATTCACTAGGTCCCCCCGTGTAATTCTGGGATTTTGGCTCACTGTTCTTGTGATGATTTTGACTCCGCGGGGTGAGATCTTGATTGAAGCCCCCGATCGAGAGAGAATATCAGTGGTCTTGTATGTCTTCCACTTTCTAAAAATTGCTCCACCAGTTGATTTCTTCACACCAACCTATTGCAGATTCAGTCTTTCAAGCCTGGTGCAGATCTACATTTTTGTTTCTGGTGCCATTTGACAGCTCTTAGCCAGAGTGGAGTTTGGAGTGTGACTGTTTGAGGTTAAGGACAGGTGTCTTTCACACTAACAAGTTACAAAAGGTGCCATTAATGCAGGTAACGAGTGGACGACGGAGGAGCTTCAGAGGTCTGTGAGAGCCAGAAATATTGCTTGTTTGTAGGACATATACTTATTTTCCACCCTAATTTGCAAATAAATTCTTAAAAAATCAGACAGTGTGATTTTCTGGATTTTTGTTTGTTTGTTTGTTTGTTTATAGAGGAAGCAGAAACCTACACTGCAGCTCAAAAGGATGTGTCTAAAATAACTACATAAGCATCCAAAAGAGCTAAAAACCTGAAAAATATGCCACTCCAAACTCCATGAAAGTTTTAAATAATTCAAACCATTAAACTTTCAACTAAACTTAACTTAAGAAGGTGATGAGGAAAAAAAGCTCCGCAAATTCCCAAGAATAATAAAGTTCACACAGCAGTGTTAGAAAAGCCAGAAATATGGATTCAAATATAAATATTTAGTCTTTAAAAGATGTTAAAGTAGAAAATTTACTCCACGATATGTTTGTCGAGTCTCACCTGCACTGGCTGGTCGCTGTGGCAACCCAGGCGACACTGTGTTTCTCTGAAGAGCCGGTTGCTGTGGCGACAGCAGGTGGGTATCCGTGAGAGATGATGATGTGACATAGGAGGTAGTTACCAGTGCGCTGCCCGGGTTGGTAAATTGCAATGTGCTCTGATTGGTTGCCTGTACTGTGACTGGCATGGAGAATGTTTGGGAGGCAGCAGCTGTCTGCTACAAGATCACACACACACACACACACACACACACACACACACACACACAGAAAACTTACTACCAGCTGAGTATGTCTCAGGTATAAATAGTCACTATCAGACTGGTTATACATAACTGAACAGCCTCAGGTTTGAGAACTGGCTTTTACGTCCTTCACGACTGATACGCTAACGGCTAGCCAACATTACGTAGTTTTTTTATATAGAATATTTCTATGGAATAAAACATAAAATGTGAAACTGATGGCAGTAAGATTTATAAAATAACACAAAATGATTTGTTTAGAAATCCTGGAGACTGGAGCTGTTTTAAAATGGCTGCCATTCGTTCTGGCTGCTTAGCCAAGCCGCTAGTTTAATTCTATCAACGAGATTTAATACCTTCATTAAAGAACACTCTGAAATGATCCTTTAAGTTAAGCAAGAATATAACAAATATATTTTAATTCAAAGAATATATATTTAAAAAGTCTGATTAAAGTGAAGCTAAATGACAGAATCTAACTGGTTGTTGCAGCTGCAGCTAGATAAACTAAAGGGTCTTAAGTTCCAGTTTGTCACCGTCAGTAAATCTAAATCCAGATTTATTACATTTTAGTAACAAACTTCATTTGGGAATACAGAAGAGACAAAAAAGTAGCAGTGTTTTTTAAAGGTCAATGAAAAACAGAGGAACTCGCCACTAATAGCAGTTTCCTGCCCAGAACAAGAACAGCCTGCAGTCTGACCAGTACGTTGCTGGGGGAAGCTGAGGCAGACTGGTTAGAAAAGAGTCGGGTTTAAAGCTCTTACTCCGTAGCGTTTGAAGAGAACATCCAGGTCCTCTGTGGTCTTACGAAACTTGTCATCATTAAGAGGACTCTGGTCGATTGAGTCTTCGCCGTCCGGCTCTGGACTGTCGCAGCCGTTGAATCCTTTCTTTCTTAAAGTCTAGAAAAGTAACCACACATACACACACACACACACACACACACCCAACAGGAAGAAGTCAATGACGCTGCTTTGGATCAGGTGATCCATGAGAGTAACTTTAGTGATCCTTTCCTTTAACGGATGCTTTAATACTATAGAGTTTATTTTCTGTATTTCCCACACATTTAGCTAATCTGAATATTCCGTTGGGACTGACGGGATCTAGGCCTGGCGAAGGTACCTCAATGATGTCTGCGTTGGTCCGGCTCTCGTGCGGCTCGTTGTACTCGGTGTATTTGAGCAGGACCTTGTCCATGTCGGTGCTGGCGTACTGGAACAGCTTGTTGGCGTGGTTGAAGATGATCAGGGCGATCTCGCAGTCGCACAACACACTCAGCTCGTAGGCTTTCTTCATCAAGCCGAACTTTCTCTTTGTAAATGTCACCTGAGAGAAAACGGGCAGGAAGCCGTTCAGCTGAGACAAAAGTATCCTTGAAAGCCTGACAGTGGCGTCTTTGATAAGGACTCGCACACAGACACTCGCGTGGAGATAAAAATAGCTCCCACAGCACTAGTGAACCATTACAGACCATCATCGCAACACAGTGGAGTCTGTTCTTTGCAAAACTGCTGATTAATTCTTCTTTCTGTTGTCATAATTTGGCATTTGCACCAATTCTGGTACTTTGCAGCTGGAGATCACAGATTTTTTGGACAGCTCTGATCTGCCGATACTGATTTTTAATATTTTATCTCAAAGAACTATAAATATTACTATAATATTATAGGTTATCATCTACGGTTTGTTTAAATGTGAAAACAGGAGTCAAAAACACCCAGGTTTGAGTAAAAGCAGATGTTTCCCGTGGTGTGGGGAGGTCAAATTCCAAGTGAATTAAAATTTGTTGCCAGCATAATATTTACTAAGATTAACAGCTTTTATATTTACAAGTAAAGCACATTTCAATACATTTGAGGGGCCGATATGGATAGGGATGGGTACCGAATTCGGTACTTTTTAAGGTACCGACCGAATTCCATAGTACCGACCGAGCATCGATTCACGTCATTTCAAACGGTGCCTCGTTTCGGTACCTGTCCTTCATAACGAGAACTTGCCAAGACAGCTGCGCATGCGCAAGAGCGTTATGTCGTCGGTCCCTGCGAGCCAGTTGTAAACAGAGCAGCATGGTAGAAAGAGCGCACGCTAACGCTTGGGTCCACTTCAGTAAATGTGATGGGTAACTGGGTGATGATGAAACCAGCGACAGACAACGATCTAAGTGAGACATCCTCATCTTAATCTGCTCCGGTAGGTAAACAAAATGTTACCTTGATATGTTAGCTTCCGTTTCGCTAATGGTGCGTTCGCTTTCTCCTCGGAATTCCGAATTTCCGACTAGAACATGAACGCGCTCTAAAGTTTGGCTTCACTTTACTAAATGTGACGGGTGATTGGGTGAAGATGAAACCAGCGACAACGATCTAAGTGTGAGGCATCATCGTTTTAATCTGCTCCAGCAGTTAAATAAACTGTTAAAGATAACGTTAGCTTGATATGTTAGCTTCCATTGCCACCGTTGTTATCAGCTAATGGTGCGTTCGTTTTCTCCTCGGAAATTCTAACTTCCCAGTAGGAAAAATCAAATGAACACAGAAGGCCAATGAAGATACGCAGTAAATTTAGTTCACAGTAAAGATGTTTGCTTCAGTTTAATTATCATCTTATAAAACTACAAGGACGATGTTAAAATACAAACAGTTGAATGTTATTTATCGTGATATTTATCAAATATTGTTATATATTGAGAAAAATATATATTTAATTATAAAAGAGAATTAAAATAATAAACACTCAAAAGTATCGAAAATTGGTATCGTTAAGTATCGGTATCGATTCGTAGGTACCGGGAATTAGTACCGGATCGATTCAAATGTCAAAGGTACCCATCCCTAGCTATGGATGAGAAAATGAACAATCTCAGTGGCACAATAAACTACATTAGGCTTTTTAACCCCCCCACTGTCTTTATGGGCGACCCCACAAGGAAAGTTGACCATTGAGCAGGATTGATGGTTTATCCCTTGAGGTCCTTGTGGCAGGGGTGAGGTGGTGCTATCTCCTCACCCCTGCCACATGGACCCAAGGGACAAACCATCAACCCTGCTCTATAGTCAACTGTCCTCGTGGGGTCACACCCATTAGGACAGTGGAAGGGTTAAACAAATCTAGCAGAGGGAGTGCTCACTATTTACTGAGCAGGGTCTGTTTGTGCGCAGCTCGCCATGCCAGGAAGTAGAAAAGCAGGAGAAAACAAAATAAAAGTCTTCTCAAATAATCTGAGAAAACAAACTAGAGTAATAATCAATACAGCACTGAACACGGTTGTGCACGAGTGTTCGTGTTCATGCAAAATAAATGTGGTTAGGTTTGCAGAACCTTAGTAGAAAAACCACTTCAAGCACACATGAGGGAGTTTTTTTTAGTCCTTTCCTAAACTCTATTCTGAGCAGACTCCATCTGCTGTAGATAATCATGTGATATGCACAAAAGCTCCTTAGCAAGGTACACGACAGATTTTGTTGCATAAAACACAAATGTTCACTTCTCTTTATCCTCCACAGTGTTTTCAAATTACAAGAGTCATTTCTACTTCGTCGTCTGGCTCCAGTTTGTGCAAGTTAGCGAGCAAACAGAGAAAAGTAAACCAGTCTGTAAGATGGAAATCTTCTGTGTCCAACTGTTTGGCCTTCATGTTTGCACATAAAAATGATGTTAACGAGGTAATTATGAATATTTTTTACACTAATTTTATAAATTAAACAAATAATTAACCAGCACAGCAACTAAAAGCATCACCTGCTTGTTCCTTTCGTCGGTGATCCTTTGGATCTGAATCTTTTTCCTACCCATGCTTCTTTGCAATATGAGTGTTGGTGTCAGTCAAGTGGAAAACGGCCTCTCTGATGAGAATGAAAGCGTGGCTGAAAAATCACTCAGACGCGGTCGTGCACCCGGTAAAACACGTGCACGCGCATTTCTCTGTCCAGGTGAGACGAGGCGAGGCGGGCGACTCTTGTGTTGAAGGGCGGGCGGCAGCGACGAGCAGGTGGCGCAGAGATATGTGACGTGGAGCAGAGGAAGAGGTCCTCAGTTCATATTTTATTCAGCGGGGACTGAAGTGTGCAGCTGCTGTGGTGAAGAAGGACGTCACTCTTCTCCTGCATGACAGAAAGAATCAGCAACTTTACTCAGTTTTTCTGGAACTTTAAGATGAACAAATAAACATTTTACTGAGACATTCATAAAAAATTATTTATTATGTTGCAGTGTGAGAAAATGCAAGTAATCTGACAAAGAGCCAGTGTTCAGTGGAACCAGTACAGCACCTGATCATGAGGGTAGAGGGTGTAACTTTAGAACTACCACCCACTCAACTTATGCCCACTCCTTAAATAGTTTGTTTTCTCTTTTAGTTTGGTGAAGTTAACACAACAGCTGTGTTCACTTAGCTGAGTTCATCTCCTGGGTCTTAATTTTAACTAGCAGAGTTAAATCTGGCTCATCGATGGGAAGAGGAACATGTCTTTAAATCAGATACGTTACGGTATGAGGTACGGTTCACACAGCGGGATATTAGCTGCATTTCCACTATAGGAGTTCTGGGAAGTTTCTGGGAAGGGGAAGCTGACAGGAAAATTACAATAGCTCTGTACCCTCAGCCATTGTGTCTCTACACCAGATCACATCTTTCATACTAAAGCCTGATTTATACTTCTCCGTAGGGCTGGGCGATGTGGCCTAAAATCAATATCACGATATCTTAAGGATTTCACCTCGATAATGATAAGTGGACGATAACTACAGGTATGCGCAGAAACAAAAGTTGTCCACTAGATGGGGCTGTCACATGTATTACATTGAGTTCCATTTTTAAGTGACTCAAGGTGGTACAGCTTCTTAAAGGGACATGAACGTTGCCAACCTACACACATCTTTTCATTTTTTTTACCATCAAATTTATTGACATGGGAACAATTATCTCAATAAAAGTCGGAGATTTCGATAATGATGAATTTTTGATTTATTGTCCAGCCCTACTTCTCCGTCTGCGTCAGTGCGAAGACACGCAACGCCATTACGCATCAGTGCAAGGGCTCTCCGACAGGCTCGCAAAGGGTGATGGAGACATGCCTCAATTTTAACTACCTCCATCGAAAGCTTGTGATTGGTCAGGAAGCCGCTTCCTGTGAATTCCTCAACTGCACCGCCATTGCCGATATAATGTCTATGGCCATTTCCCCCTCAAACAAGAAAAAGATATCTAGTGGCAGACGTGAAACAGATTGAAGAACGCCTCGTGGAAAGGTTAAAAAAAATTACCCATGACTGAAGATACACAGCAACGCTGTTTATTTGCTGTTTTTTGGCTACATTTGCCAGTTTTAACTCATACTGAGTTACAAACAATTAGCATGAGTTGACCAAACATCCCGCCCAATGGCCCAGGAAATGGTCCTTTCAGGCTGGTTAGGTGAAATGGAGACACGCAATTACTGGGAAGATCTGATAAATTGACCTGGAAGTTCCAATAGTAGAAATAGGCCTAATTATGCTACTTTTTGTCCAGATTCTTCCCTTCCAACAATCTTAAGGACACTCCAGATTACAGTAATGGCTGTGAAGATAACGTCATCAGATGACGGCATGTGTGTGGTGTGTTAAAACCAAGTTCACTCTTTTTTAGTAAATTTGCAATTGGTCTCTAGCATAAATGATTGTTTTTTGAGTTGATCTCTGTGGGGAAAATAGCTCTGGTGCTCCTAATTCGGGAAGTAAAAATTAGCTGGAGCAGAATATGGCAGGATTTGGAGTCGTACTCATTATCGATTCCTTATATTCAGACATCTCACTTCTGACTGGCTAAAAGCAACACCACCCTACTACTGACTCCGTCTGCTTTGCAACGTTGATGTTTTATCTCCACAAATAACACAGGCCTAAAGAAGTTATGCAGTGTTGTGGAGTTGCTGATGCTAACATTTAGCTTCTACTTGCCGAGACTTCCTGTCGCGAGCCAAGATGGGTGAGTCCATGAATGCTAATCTACAGTGTGATGCAGATCTGTTAGGCATTTTCTGACCCGAGAATTTCCCCGTCTATTATCTATTAGCAGCTAACGCAAGAAAATTGGGGTAGAAGACTATTTTCACGTTCAGCCTGTGTGTGAAACTGAGTGACTAATCAAATTTCAAAAATACAAGTAAAGACTGTTTCTCAGTAAACTGGCTCATTAAGATCACTTTGGTCTGGTCGGAAGCATGTCGGGAATTCCTAGATTACAAATCGGGAATATTTAACATGTTGGATTGTTTTGTTCCAACATAGCAGTGTGAGTGATGTGCCCCAAAGGCAAAGGAGTGTTCCACCTGCCGAATGTGACGCGTAGTCAATCAAAAATCAAGGTGACAAAGGCACTATACTATTGCCAATACTGACTCCTTGTCTGCCATGTTTGTTTACTCCGTTTGATCTCGAGAGGTTTGGAAGATTTCCTGCCTGCCTGATCATGAGAGAAATTGGTCTGTGTGTAGTTTTTGCCACTTGGGCACTAAGGCTGATTGATCTATCATTTTCTGATCAAAATTATGATTTCAGACAACGGCTGCAGTTTTGTGCAGCGCTCGTGACTGAGCTGTTGCATCAACAATTTTACACATCCAGGGTTTTTCCCAGGTTTTAAGTGTTACAGCGTTAGGATCGAACTCTGACTGGGTACTACACAATTCCTGATATAAACTGTTATTTAGTATGCAAAATATTATAGATTCAGACCTTGGTTATTAGTAGTTTACTAATCACGCAGAAAACTATTAAAAAAAACACTTAAAAAATCTGCAACTGTGGTGCAGCGGTTTTCTTTTGTGTCAAGTATGAAAACAACATGATGCTGAAGACTTCTCATGTATTTACTGTTTTATATACTGTTTCCTACTGCTCTTATCCCGCCTGCAGAGACAGATCTGAACACACCAACAACTGTGATTTACCTTCACAGTCAGACATCATGAATCAATCATATGGTAATCACAGTTTCATTGTAAACATTGAGTTAAACTCAGGCAGGTGCAAGCCTGATGTGCTGTGTTTAAGATGGCTGATTTGATTACTTTAATCATTCCCTATACCAGGGGTCGGCAACCTGTTTCCATCAAAGAGCCATTATTACCCGTTTCCCACAGTAAAGAAAACACTGGGAGCCACAGCAGCCGCGGCGTTGTGGGTGGGGCCTACCCTCAGACAGCAGAGAGCTGCTTTAACCAATCACAACAGGTGACAGCAGCCAGTACCGGTCGCTCGCGTACGTCAAAGTTATCTTTCATAAGAAGATAATCAATAAAACGATTTATATAAAATGGATCCAGAAGTTGTAGCCCGTCTCTGCCTACAATATTTTGATATTTTTCACCCTGTTGGTGGTTTTACTGAGCAGGTGCCACTTTTGTCATACGTTTCTTTTTAAAACATGTTTAGACTGTTCAGAATACAAATCCAGGCTCTGTCACGTTTGATTGTTGTAATTAAACTTTGTAGTTGGGGAAGGTCAGAAAAGGATCCGATCAATTTGTTTTTCCCTCATTTACAGTGACGGAAACAACGGCGCAGTGCGCCTGGCTCTGGTGTTAGTCAAGTTCAATTATATCTCTTTGTGACAATTTTCACAAGAAAACAGAACAGTTAAAAGCAGGGCTTGTGTTGACCGGATAGTTCCCGTATTTGACCGTTTATTTTGACGGAGAAAGAATAGAAAGAATTACCCCGACGCATGCAGACGAACTGACATTTTATTCGTTTTGCACATCGCAGATGTAGCTAAATCACTCAAGAAAAGATTCCCATCTGAACATCTGAGCTGGACACTGCTCAGCGCAGCTCGCTGTCAGCGCGTACGTACGGTGCACAGCGAGTTGAAGATGTGGAGAGGGGCTTGGAGCGCGTCGCAGAACCAGAGCGCATGCAGGAAGATTCCTCCGACTGAAGCGAGACTTGTCACTTAGAAAATGTTCCCTGATTATGAAACTTTGGCTGAATAGCGCTTGTTCCTGTCTCCAATGTGGCTAAACATCCAGGAGCCGTCTGAGGAGAATCCCAGAATCTCACATCCTCTTCAGCTCATAAAGCGCCTATGATTACGCACAAGCGTGACCCGTCAACCCTGTCTCACAGTAAGACCGGGTTGGAACTATTCAGGTTTACGCAGACAATCTTTACATTTAGAATTGGCATACAGATGTAAAATTAATGCAGTAAAATATAAAGCATTTTATTTAAATATCCATTCATTATTTTACAAGCACAGAGAGCCGCATCAGATGGATGGAAGAGCCGCATGCGGCTCCAGAACCGCGGGTTAACGACCCCCGCCCTATACCTACAGCTGAGAGGAGCCGTTCTTTTACTGTTAAAGGTATACTACGCAACTTTGTCATATTTTTAAATCATTTTCTTGAGCCAGTATGTGCTAAAATGACCCTTTACATAGTTAATGAAATGTCCCTCAGACCCCAATGCCCTTTGTGGCCAGAATACTGCAATTGCAACTTCAGAGTTGCCAGGTCGCTACATGCTGGTGGAGGGAGCTGTGGAGTGGAGCTGACATGGTGGAGCTGAAGTCTGCTTCCAGCATGTTTCCTGCATGTTATAGTAGGGCTGTAGCGGTTGAGGAATTCCTCCTGCGGTGATTCAGGGTGGCTTAATATTGCGGTATGCGATATTATTGCAGCCCTTTTTTTATTGCAGTACTATCTAAACATAATGTTTACACATTTAAAAAAGGTTAAAAATTGCCATGCCTTCTTTTATAACACTTTACTGAATGCAGATCAAAGGGCAGTAACAACACAGATCGCAGTAACGTTTGTTTCTCCGACAGTCGGAGTCCGACTGAACTTAAAAACAACAAAATTCAGGAGGTTAAACTTTTAAATGCAAATTTAGCTGCAGCATCTAACAAATAAGAAACAAATCCCCATTTTGTTTAGTTGTTTAAAATCAAGCATAAAAAATTACATGTACCGGGCGCGAGCGCGCCGGGGGGCGGGCGCACTATCATTTCACTTTCACACACACGAATGACGGTGCTTTATAGCTCGGTCACGTCCTTGTTACCTACAAGCAAAACCAGCATGTTAACCATATACGGTTTGAGAGAGGATCTGAG